AGACATAGACACAGGAATACCCAAGGCTGGTTTTTTCCTGGAGTTACTCACTTTTAATAACCTCATTTGAAAGCATTATTCTACCTGAACTATGCTGAGGGTTGCAGAAGTAACAGGATCTGAAAAATCTCCTCCGGGTGGAGAAACAGCACCAACAATTGTGACACTACCAGTACGTTCAGGACCTCCAAGACATTTTACTTTGCCCGCACGTTCATAGAAAGAGGCTAAACGTGCAGCAAGATATGCAGGATATCCGCTATCTGCAGGCATTTCTGCCTGTAAAAACAAAATATAGCATCGAGAGCCATGCATATTGAAGCAACACTATATAAGTGATTTCTCTTATAACAAAATATTGATAAATTTATAATGCCTTATCCCTTGTGATATTTAGAAATTGTCTATTTGATGTTTAATCAATAAAGCGCAACAAATGGATGTCTAAGGTAAAGTAGGTAATCTAATGAACAAATGTCATTCCATAACTTAATGTGGCGCTCACCAGCCGTCCTGAGATTTCACGCAAAGCTTCTGCCCATCTAGATGTTGAATCTGCCATCATGCTGACATTGTAACCCATGTCTCTAAAATACTCAGCTAAAGTGATTCCTAGGATTAAAAAAAATTATAGTCAAAAGATGGCTCCCTTAAGTTAACTCTTTCTAATCGTAACAGCATTGCCAACATCAATTATACTAATTCAAAAAGGGTCTTTTATTGAATCAAACAGCATAAATCAATCCTAGGTTTTAATTTTAGAGGTCTTGGCATCAATAGAGATACTAAGGGTATGTGCGATTAGCTTTTGACTGGATATCTTATTCACTTGTATTTGTATTTCCTTTCTTAATAAATTATTTGTTTATGTAATATGTGTGTGTGCACGCGCATGGGTGTGAGAGAAAGAGAGAGAGAGAGCAAAATGGATAGAATAGCACGATAATTGGGCAGATGGGTCTTCCCCACTTTTTAACACTTAAAAGCACAAAATAACTATTAAGTTACTTCACAGCAAGAACATGTGCCAAGAAAAAAACTAATAATTATTGAAATACAGCACTAAACAAGTTTTACAAGTAAATGCATAATGGATAATGAAGAAAAAAAAAAAGCAAATATATTTATCTCAACAATAAACAAGCTCTAGAATTTAAGAGATGAAAAAGGTACCAGTATAAATTGAAGCTTCACGAGCAGCCACTGGCATATTTGAAGTGTTGGCCACCAGTGTTGTGCGCTTCATAACAGATTCTTCACGACCATCAGGCAATGTCATTGTAAGTTGTGGAAAGTCCATAAGGACCTGATAAATCATTAAATTGATTTGGCCAACTGCAAAATAACAATTACAAATCTTTCATTACCAACATACGAAAAATACCTCTGCCATTTCATTTCCACGTTCCCCGCAGCCAACATAAACAACAGCATCAGAGTTTGAATACTGCCAAAAAGAAAATGTGAAAAATAAAAAGTTCATGAATTAGGGATACAATATTTACAAAATAAGTATTTCTTGATGGGTGTGTGAGCTTCACCTTAGAAAGGGCCTGACTAATGACAGTTTTACCACAACCAAAAGCTCCAGGTATGGCACAAGTTCCACCAAGAACTGAGGGGAAAAGAGCATCAAGCACACGCTACACCACACACACGTCATCAGACATGACTAAGAGCTATCAAAATTAGTTCATAGATAAGACAACTAAACAACCAATAACAATTAAGTTTACCTGACCAGTAAGAAGAGGAGTATCAGCAGCTAGTTTTGATGCAACAGGCCTTGGCGTACGTACTGGCCAAGTCTACAAGCAGGTATATGTAAATTACATGCAAGCTAAATTGTAATGTAGGATAAATATGGAAAACAAAACTTCAAAAAGCAAGAAACCTGAAGCATAGTGAATTTCTTTTTGACACCTTGAAACTCAAGCTCCAACACAGTATCCTGAGAATATATAGGACAAGAATCAGAAAATACAGAGAAGCTCCTGAATAAATAAAAATTGCAGAAACTAACAAATGTACAAGTTTCGCATTTGGCAATCCTACTTCTTTCACCAAATTATGAAGCATGGTGATGCCACAGATAGAAATGCTAAAACAACTTGACAATGATCTTTAAACAGAAAGTGAGCTGGAGATACAATAGCAAATAAGTTTAAAAAACAACCTTCAAGGAATATTGACCAGGTGGCGCAATGTAAGTAATTTTTCCCATGGCATCAGGAGGAAGGGCAATATGGTGTTGCATTAGACTGTTCTCAAAAACAGTCTGCAATGGAAATAATGTACACAAAACTTTAGAAAAAGAATACACTAAACACAAAAAGGGTCAATGTACTAGCTGATCTAATTGGCCAAAGAAAACATACAGCATATAGATCTCCACCAGTCAATAGGTCTCCTTCGCCTGTCACCAATTGATAAGAATATAAGGGGGAAACGGGCCCCAATCAACAATCATTTTCTGTATAGCATCTAACAATAATAGCAACAATATTTTCTGAGTTACCAATTTTTTTAGGCTGAAACTCCCATAGTGTATCTTTGTCAAGTGCTGGAACAGATACACCACGAGGTATATAGACATCACCAGATCTTTTAGCAATAGTTTTCAATGGCCTCTGAACATGGAAAAAAAGGATTATTTAATTGACTAAGTAATCAATTAAGGAAATAATTGAATAGCGCATACAGATGAAGGGTAAACCTGAATGCCATCAAAAATATTCCCCAGTATTCCAGGCCCCAACTCCACAGACAAAGGCTGTTAAACAAGATACTATTTATCAGCTGATGCAGATAGCCAGAATTAAACAATAAGAAAATATGATATAGTAGCCAACCTTGTGTGTACGTAAGACAGGGTCATTAACCATTAAACCAGCCGTTTCCTCATAAACTGAAATTGCAGATGAACAAAAAGTTTCTTAAGAAAAAATGACAAAAGATATGAAAGACATAAAAATAATTAAAGGTGCCGTGCATCCTCTATGCAGTCATATTACACATGGTATGAGAAGAACTTAATTAAAAATGTACAACCTTGGATAGTAGCTGAATCCCCTTCCAAACGAATAATTTCACCAATGAGATTATCACGACCAACACGTACTAGTTCATACATGGCAGCCCCAGCCATGCCATCAGCAACCACAACTGGTCCCGAAACCTGTTTTAGTAGGGAAAGTATAACGATACATCTTTAGCATTCATAGCCCACATTATTAGCTAAATAATTTAAGGAGAATGAGGTAAGATTGGCATATGGGATATCAATACCAGAACAATTTGAAAAATTATATGATCCTCTATGACAACAAAGTAAAACTGCAAAAATTTCTACTGTATTAGAATAATGTAATAACAGCATATTGTATCCTTGTAATATAAGATAATAGGCAACGAAGTAGACAATAATTAAGGGCAAATAAACGATCAAGACCCTGAGAAGCGGCTAGTAACATCACAATAACCACAAATTCAACGTAAATCCGGATGCGTTTAGAGTGTACTAAAGAGCTCAAATTGAAAATTGCAAACAAACCTCTAAATGACTTCAAATTCATAAAAGATACCATGTTTGAGTACATTGATGGGCTTCGAAGTTAAAGAGACTAAAAATTGACAATTAAACGGTGTCTTAGGTATTGTTTCCGTTCTCTTTATAAAAAAATGAAAGCAAATAAACGTAAAAGGATAAATGAGATTGGGATGATAATGAAAGTGACGAGCAATACCATACCTTACGAACGTAACCGTATTCACTCTCCTTCTCGGAGTCTTCGAAGGTGGTCAAGCGAGCTCCGTAAACCGCTGGCATTTTCAGATCCTGAGGTGAATGAATCAAATGCGACTGAGATTGAGAGGGAAGCACGAAGGAGAACGTGACTGAATTTAATCATTGTGTTGCCATCTTCATATTTGTACCACACCACTCTGTCCCATATCGTCATCGTGATGATGATGGCATGTTTTTATCTGCTGTAGATGCATCTACGTCACACTGGAATATGCATCTTTCATCTAAACCAATTAACAGTTGCCACGTCGCCCTTTTCTTTTCAGACCTTGCATTTAATAATTACTTACAAGTAGTATACTCAATATCTTTCAGTATTATGTTTTACTTTTTTAAATTATTTTTTGTTTTCTTTAATAATACATTTAAAATATATTCAAATATCTTACTAAAAAATGTTTTAAGGACATTGATTAGATAATTAAAAATATTTTTTAATAAATATCACATTAGATGATATTAAAAATTATAAGATATATTAATAATTTTTTATTTTAAAATTTTTAACTAATGTCCTTAAAACACTAATTAATATATGTCTATACTTAAATATTTGATCATTAGTGAAATAAAATTAAATTATTATTTAAATGACTTATAAGAAAATAATTTTTTTTTATTTTGAAAATGGATAAATATATTGATAAATAATAAATCATTTTATCTCATATTTTCATATATTAGAAAACGGAAAGAATGTAGGTGATGGAATCCCTTTGATTTCCTTTTAGAGCATATTATTTTAAATAATTTAAATAATAACGGTTAATATTTTTCTTAATTGCTGATGGAACACACAAATTAGTTTTGAAAGGACTGACTTATGATTGCCTTCTAAAGTGGAAAACAAGGATGTATTCATATTTAATGCAAAAGTGGATTGTGTTTACAAAGTAATTTACAAATTATGATTAAATTCACCTCACTTTTTAACGTTGCACATTATTTCACTTTAGACAGGTTAAATTACTGAATAATACTTAATCAGTACCCGTAAAATTTATATGCTTAATTTTGATGTATTAAAAAACTTGAACGAAAAAATAGTATTCCTAATACGTACCTAATATGGGTACAATCATTTGGAGTACCCATTCTAAATTTCTAAAGTCCCATTAATATTAAATTGATTTGTTTTGTGCTTTGATTCTCTTGTATTGAGCAAAATGGGCCAAATGGTACATTTTTCTAGGCTGCTGCAATAAAAGCTTTGTGCTCATTTATGGAACTGGTGACGAAAAATATATACTGTTTTGTAAAATTACAGGGTAGCATGAATAATGCAATTGCCTAGTCTCATCTATCTACAAAACTATTACCGGATGCCATGAAGGGTTGATAAACTTACTATCTACAATGTATTTATCGGTAACTCAATGGAAAGTGCATATTGCACATTTTAAATGAGCAAACTATTCCATCGTTCTTTAAGGGCCTCATAGGCCTCGCGACAAGGTATAGCCAGCAATCCATGCCTTCCATCAATACAAGTTTCAGTTGCAAGGCCCAGTCTTAATAATGTTTTGAGTGCCTTGTCAATTGGCATTTCAACCTGTTAATAATGCAAATTGTGCAATGATTATGGTCAGCAAGTCATCAACCTCGTAACAGTATTAACTTCACAGAGCAGACCCCACCCCCCTCAATATATCACCTTTACTTTAAACACTTCATACATGAATCTCTCACATTTCTCTCCGACACTTTGTCGAGAAATAACCTGCAGTCAAGAATGTTACACATGATTTGTTTCATTTTAAATGCTAGATCATATGATAGATTCGCAGACTATTCCTACTATAACAACCACATGAAAATGCATTAGCAGAACTGAAGGTAACATCATTAGGAGGAACAATTAACAAACCTGACCCTTTTCTGCTTTGAGTAGGACAGCATAAGCCAAAATAGCTTCTTTGTACTGCATATGCAACGTTTAGGGAGACAGAAGTTAATGAAGGTCAGAATACATAATAATGAGGTTGTAAAGAAGAAACCCTATTTTTGCAGAGCCGTCCCCTCTTTTACGAAAGATGTATGGAGTATAAGCTTATCTACCACTATGACTGTGGCCACTACTCGGGCATCAGATTTCATAACGTAAATCACCCAAAACTGGTTCATGATCTGATCTTCAGTTTAGCAAATTCATCATCTAACCAGTTAGATTACATGATTCCAAAATATTTTCCAGACCAAAATTGACAAGAAACATTTGCATGATTCAATAGTTTGGAAATAGATTACACCTCTAACTCATCAAACAAAATAATTGAAAACCATTGAATAATTTTATGAAAACCAAAAAAATTGAGCACCACCTAATTGAATGACAAATTCAGAAGTATTGGTTGTTTATCCCACAAAATGTGAGTAAAGTTATCCAGAGTGCATGGAAAGCATAACAAAGGAATTTTCTCACTTGCTGCTGTTCAGAAGCATCTAGAAGAAAATGAACTGAGCCAAAGCCGCTTGCCAATGTTTTTTCATAAAGTGTCTTGTTGACTAATAGCTGCAATATAACATTCTTGGCAGTTCAGACATTTTCCTTTCACAGATTGTGGAAGAAAGAACTATGCTTCCATATTCTTCCAGCATAATAATCTCTAATAGCACAAGAAAAAATTATGTTAGTTACCTGATACCGATCCCATGTCTGTTTGTAGCCTAGAACCACACGACTCCCATATATTATTAAAGCACTTATGGCAACTACATCAAGTAATACTGCTGATCTGACATAAAGATCAAGGTAAATATTATTTACAAGCACTCCAATAGTTTCCCAAATGATGTAACTTACTAAGCTGGAAAGTTACTTGTAGAAGGAAGAGATGAGGTGTTTCTTTCCAGACCATCAAGAAAATGTTCATTATACATATATCTAGTAAGAAATGTAATATAAAACCATGCTCAACTTCATGATTTTGAAACTTAAAATAAGATATCCAAAGTTATACAGTGAATATACTAAACAACAATGTCTCCTACACTTTTGAGTGTTAAAATAAAATCACAGAAAAATTTCCAATAAATAAATAATCAACTTAAATTACAGTGTATAGGAAAATGATAGTTCAAGCTACATGTTGAAATTATAAGCTTTAAGGTACAGAAGGAGGAAAGTAGAGAAAATATATTTTGAATAACAAAATAGTATTTGATATATGGTGTAAATAGGGGATTATGAGTAAGTATTAGACTCCTAATCCTAAACAAATAGGGGAACAAATAATTTATTAAAGATAAAATAAAATCCCTAAGAATAAGGTACCTAATAAAATAAGATCCCTAAAAATAAGGTAACACCATTATCCCTAAATAATATAAATTATCTTAATATATTATGCATCATTCTCTGCCCCTAAGATATTTTGTAGCTATTCTAACACCATGTTTGCTCAGTTCAGCACATTTCCTAGAGAAGTAAACAGCCATACTTGATAATATTCTTCTGAACAACTCCTTGAAAAGAAGGAAAAATATATATACACAAGACTACAGGGAGATAACCCACTTTGTGGGGGCAAATAAGCATTGCTCCTCTAGCACAAGAAATTTAGGATAACTGTGAAATTAGAACCATAATTAAAACTCATAAACTGTAAAGAGATACTGCAAAATCTTTTAGGAATTTTATAGTATGAAAACGACGTACGGGGAAGATAAGACATTCTCAAATTTGTAGTTTATGAAGTATGCCAGAAGACCCAAAATTGTGGCAACATCCAAGCGCACCTGTGAGTACACAGTTAACAGTTACAAGATTAAACCATTGAAGATAAAGACACCTTTCCAATATCATAACATCATCCCATCATCATATATTATTAAATTAATTACAGGGAAGAATGGAAGCTTTATCTATCTGGTGTGCTAGTCTCAACTAATGATACACTGAGGAAGTGTGATGAACATTAATGCCATCATGAAAGTTGTGCCAAGCATATTTATCATTCCTCTTTGTTAGATAAAACTGGATTGCCCAGACACTGATTGGTCAAATTGGGCCAGGCACTGACTAAATAAAATGTTTATTCTGGGAAATAATGTCAAGAATGAGAGTAGAAAAAGTGCAAATTACATCACCATTTTTCATATACAGAATCAGCGTATAAAGACTCTTCAATTTGGATAAGGCTTAACTTAACTCCAAAACCTAGCTCATGAAGTGAGACTTTTCCTTTATAAGCTCTACTTTGGCCATATCTGTAGCTAATGTGGGATCTTAAAAAAATCACTTATCATGCATAGCATGTAACTTTAAAATGAGTTTAAAACTAATTTAAAAAATAGCAGAAAAAAATTAGCAGATTTCTTACTGTGTCTATGATACGGAATGATAGCTTTTTATGAGGAAAAATTACCTGAAAATAAATTGAGAATCATCTGAAGAATTATACATATAAAAATAGAAAGTTAAAACAGGAACAAAATTAAGAAGTCTTCTCATCTGAGATCTGACAGTCCCTGTAGAAGCAAAATTATTACCGGTAAATCTGGGATAGGAATTCTCTCATAGATCTTTAATTGCAATGATGGAACATCAGCTTTATCTTTAGCATTTGTATCTCCAACCTCCTTGGTATATAGTAGAATTAACTCTTCAAATGCTGGCTCCTATTTTGGGAACGTATAAGATTTGGATAAACTTTTCCAGAATAATTATATCAGCATTCAGCTTAATCAAAGGACAAAAAATCATTTACAGTAAAGAACTCTAGTGACTACTACAACTAGGAACTTAATAGCAGACTAAAAAATAAAAAACCATGTCAACCGTTAGGAAAGTAATAACATTATTATATTTATAAGTAATAATAGATGTATATTCTATCTTCAACCTTTTGAGAAAAATGATGCAAAAGGAAAGAAATCATGCAGACATGAAGGCCACAAACATAAGGCATGCCTTTAAATAATACACAAAGGTCAAGTCAGAATGACTCTCCTAAATACATATTTGTGTAGCTCTACAGCTCCAAGGAATTATAGGTAATGGGGAATACCTGCAGGACTGACTGTGAGAAAAGTATGGAAATGGAAGTTTTCAACATTTTCCAGGGATCATTTCTGCAGTATTTCCTTGTTGCTGGTCTCCATATATCACTTAGTGATATCCTTGATAAAAAAGTAGGCCTGGAAGGAGAATTCTATTGATTGGTCATGTCAAAGGATGACGCTTTGACCAAATTATCCTAAAACTAGCAAACTAAACATCACATCAAGACATATTTCTGCCTTTTAGCAGATATGAATCATTGCATGCATGTAATCAATTCCAAGGCTTTGGCTTTAAAATAATTATTTCTCAATGAATTCAGTAAGACATTTAAAATAAGTTATAATCAATGATAAAGTGAGAGTTAATGGATAAACACTGTTAACAAGTGGGAAACTTGATTGGTACTGGCCCCAGTTTTTAATATTGTGGTGTGACGACAATGACATCAGATGCATTTTTGTTAAGATATCATTTGAGCTTAACTGCAAGCCATGAAGAGCCAAAGCATCAAGAAAGGATATCACTAAGTGATATATTGAATTAGAATATTTGAGAGATTTTTCAAGAATCCTTTACACATGTTGGATGATGTTAGGACTTGGGATCCAATTATAAGGTATGAGACTTGAGTCCCACATTGAAAGTATGGGATTCTAGTGCTAGGTTTATAAGGCCTTGGGTTCTCCACTATAACAGCTAGCTTTTGTGGCATGGTTCTCCCAAGGTTCCTTTATGATACAAGGAGCATCAAGCAGTGCCAACAGACTGTAATGAGAGATGTTTTCTGGAACAAACCTTAGGTAAGGTTCAGGAGCACTATTATCATTATGAACCTCAAAAGGTGTTTCTGGTGTAGGGGGAATAAGTCCTATCCAGGAAAGCAATCTCCTCAAGAGCCTTCCACGGGGACCAACTGCTGACAAAATCCCTTCATATCGAGCTACTGCCCTCTGAGCTGCCAACCAAATAGGGAGTTCTGCATTTGCTACTTGGTTTACACCTATTTGCTCATTTGAAGCAGGGTCTTTATAAAGTAGTGATTTCTGAAATACTGACAGTTCCTTTAGCCAGAGCCTCAATCTTTCTGTCCAGTTTTGTACTTCATGTTTCTGACTGCCATTTTTGTAAAGCTGCAGAGGGGGGGGGGGGGATTAGACTGTTACACCAGATACTTCTTAAGGTACTAAATTTGAAAGATAATTTTGATAAGTTAGACATAGTCTTGATCTCATGCATATGCATAACAACCGTAAACATGACAGTACCAAACCAGAGTTATTATTCAAGTAGCCATGATCCATGAGGTATGCTCTTAAAGACAGATTGCCAGATAGCATTATGTTGATTAAACAAAATTTATAGAGTCAAATTATTTATTTTTTGTGCAAATCTCAATTATATAAAGAGTCTTCTATATTTATAATTCAAGAAATCCCAACAAACACCTTTTTCTAATTCAAGAATAAATTAATCAAATCCAGAAAAAGCAATTGATGATTGATTACAAGTTAGCTTGTTTAACTAATCTTTCTGAAATTTGGTTAATTTCTCCCCTAAATACAAATACATTTCTGGATTTCCTAAATCCTCTCTCTGCAACATTTGTGTTATGAATTTTGAACATCAAAATAGTCAACTGCTATATTTGAAGCATGTATTCAAGTATGTAGTTAAAAGGAAATCAGTTTCTTCTCACAAATTATTCTTCCACAATCTCAATTCTTCAGTCTAACAATAGATTTACGTTTTATCATACCAAAAGTCACCAGATACTATAATGTAGTTCATCAAGTGGGAAAAGTATTTCAAGTGTGGTTAGTCTGCTTGACTGAACACAGGCGATCGATCTTAGTTCTTATCTCAATCAGATCATGCATATCTTACATGCCAGTATACTCAAATTAGGCTGTAATCTAGTTTAAATTTCCAGTGGCCATTATCATATTCTACATATAAGGAGATGAAAGATTATATGCTTAAATTAATTGCATTCAGTGGATGAATGAATATATAGACAATGTCAACAAGAGATTTTCCAGATATAACTCTGTAGTCCATGTTATATTTTTTAGTCATGAAAATTATTATAATTAATTTATGCTCTGAGGTTCCTTTGCATAATCTCTTGTTTGCTAATCATTTAAATATCTATAGAAGATTACAGACAGTGGAAGTATTCAAGCCACATTTGGTGCATCTTCTGAAATATCTATACAATATACGTGAGGTATTTATGAATGAATGTGTGCAGAATTTTCTCTTTGCCATGCCAGAAAAATGGCACAACTCTATCTCTCTACACATATAGAAAAGGTAAACAATGGAACTAACACAAAAATATAACCTCACTTATCCAGGTGCCAAGTTTTGTTAGTGGTTTTGATATAACAAAAAAGATTCTTCGCAGAAGCTTAGACTGTAAGTAATCCAATTTTTCAACAATTAATAGGCCCTTCTGCTTCTCAGTTGCATAACCACGCCTACAATAGAAAAAGATAATACCATTACTCTTAGATAAACAAAAGAAATAAGCTAAATTATATAATTTGTATTACTTAAGTACACTTCCACGTAAAGAGATATTATGTTCCATTGGGAAGGTTACCTAAACTTTTAAGCTCCACTGATCAATTAGAACATATAATACAAGTATATTGTTTCACTAATTAGGACTCAATCGTGCAGAAGGAAATTCACTAAATGTTTTGAAGCATTGATATTCAAACTATCATAAAAAATTTCCTAGCATGTAATAGAATATTTCATTAAACTTTATCAAAGCTCAAATGATATATATGCATATCAAGGATTCAAGATTATTTTTGAAATTTGATATAAAAATTAATATGAAAGAACAGACATGCAGAAATAATGTATATGGAATTACCTAAATATTATGGCATTAGACTCATATGCTCTCTTCCAATCAACATATACCGGCAAGGTAAGTAGATAGTCTGTGTTCAATGCAGATGTTAACATCAGATCCCTAGCTGAAAGTTCTTCAAATTGTGCATCAGAAAGAAGCTGCATGAAAGCATGTTGGAAACGAGTGGCAATGGTAACTCTGCCAGCAAATTTGGAATAATGAGTCAATCAAAGTATCATTTTGAACAAGTACTCATTACTCTAATCTTGATTATTTTCTAACACGTGATCCTCTCCTAATGAAAAGAAGCATATTAATGATGATGATATCTGTAATTTTAAACTATACTGAGTTTTTTTTTTTTTTTTAAATCTACAGAGCGTCGAATGAATTAAATCAAGTAAGAAGCATAATGGCGTCTGTTTGACAAACCTGGACCCCCTATCATAACCTTTCTTTGAAGCTATGTCCAGAGATTGTAAAAGGGAGGCGAGGTCCAGACCACGGTAGGAAAGCATAGGCTTTTCCAGTTGATCTTGATGCATTTCCTCATAGAGCTTGCCGTCCTCAATTCCAAGGATGCCATTGCTAAACAAGTCTGAATCCTTTCCATTCGGCAGGACTTGTGAATTGGAAAGGTGATAATCGGAACGCATCTCCTCTAAGATACTTTTGTGCTCAGCATGAAGTATAGAGTCTAAGCATCTGTTGCGATAAATACAATATAATTGTTAATGTGTGAAAAGTGGCAGTTGCAGTTTCATGGATGAAAAAGTTGTGTGTACATGAGAAGAACCGAGTAAGTTGATGCTTACGAGGTGAGAAGGCGAAAGTGATGCGCATCGTCATGGCGTTGGTGAAAAATGATGGAGAGGATGGCGTCCAGAAGTTGGGACTTGGAAACAGGGATGTGTTTCTGCCTGGGCACTTGTATTTTAGAAATTCCTACTTCTTCTTCATCATCATCATGATCATGTTCATGATCTTGCTGATCATCCCTGACAACAGGATAGTAGTTGCTCGTGCACTGTTGATGCTGATGCAGTGAGGATGGATCGACGACGGACATTTCCTGAAGCCGTGAACACGAAGCAGAAGAAAACCTGTTGTTACCGATACCATTATTAGAGTGTAATTGTAATTGTGAAGAGGGAAACAGTGGTAAGAAGGGTTGGGATTGTGAAATTGGAACAAGAGCTTTGCTCGCCAAACTGTGCCAACAATATGACATCTGGATTCGATTCTGATCAACAACAACAATGCTGTCTACAACGCTCACCGCATAATTCACCTTCACTTGAAACAGCAACAACAACAACAATAACCATATACACTGCTATTGCTAATCGTCCCCTTCTTCCCTTTGTCCTCTCTCCATTTATTTTCTGTTGATAAATTCGTTTCCTATATTGTATGGTTCCCAAAATTACTGAATACAAACAAAACTCTCAAACTCAAACTCTTATCCAATTTATTAAAACATGTTTACAAAATCTCCTTCCTATTTTATCTATGTTAAAGTAATGCAAGCATTTTAAAAAATACATTAATTATTACGATAAAGTAGTTTTTAAAATATTTTTATTGAAAGAGTTAAATAATTAGTTAAATTTTAAGTAAGATGTTATTACAAATAAAGTTATTTTTATTTAAAATAATTAATAAATTTTTATTTTTTGTGGAAAAAGATTATTTGAAATTTCTTTGAAAATTGAGAAAGAGATAAAAAAATAATTAAAAAAAAGATGATGACTAACGTGATAATAAGAATAATAATAAAATAGTAATATATGTGAAAAGAGGGTGGGGGGTTTGGAAGCGTTGGTTAGGAAGGGGAGTTGTTTATATCCTTCTTATCCTCTCTATCCTGCTGGCTGCAGTGTACACTGCACAGTCCTGGTTTCTGATGAATCTTTTGCATCCTGGTCATCATGTTTTTAGGATAGTAAATGAAAGGAATTGGGGTGGGGGGAGAAGCAAATTATCAGAAAGAGAAATTGCAGCGCGAGACAGAGTAATAAATTTCGGAAAATACAAAGGGAAGATGCTAGGAAGCCTTCCATCGAAGTACCTGAAGTGGGTCTCAAAAAATTTACGAGCAGGGCATTTTGAGGAGTGGGCAAAGCTTGCAGACAAAGTCCTTGAAGACCCTATTTACGGAGACCGAATAGAGTGGGAGTTGGCTCTCAATGTGTTGAGCGGCAACTCTTGTTCTTCTAGACGCCCCACTTCCGCAGTTTGTGAGCTGCAGGACATAAGCGAGAGGTTTGGTTGGGATAACCTTGACAAGGTTGGTTGGGCCAAAGTTGATTTCGACCTTCTCGGCACTTCTAAAAGTGCCAGAATTCCAAGGCTCGTTCATAATGTTAACCAACCCCCCCTCGTTAACCTTAATCCCTCACCCCCACCACTTCCGCCCCTGTCTAGAAGGATGGAGAGAAGAGAGAGGCAGAGAATGAGATTGAGGACACAGCCACAGCCACAACCACAATCACAACAGCTTCATGAAGATCCCATTGCTGAACAAGACGACAATGGCAAGCAGAATCATGATGGCATTCCCAACCCCTTCCCGGGACGTCAGGCCCTTCTGGGGAGGGCCATAATACACCACAGCAGGCACAAGCAAAGCCATAACATTTAATTTGTCTCCTATATGGTCATCATTTTTGTTCTGCTTTATATATCTTGCATTGCATATTTGCACATGAAAAAACGCGTTGGTGGTGATTACAAGTCAACTTCGATATCCTTTCCTTCTGATCTGACTCTGCAAGTTATATCACACACCACACCAGGCATCGTGCCCTTTACTGCTACTCAATCTAACTGCAACTTTGAGAGTTATTTAAATAATCACTTCCTTTTTCAGAAAATCATTTCATTGCTTCACGCAAGTCAGAACGAACTTGCCTTGCTCTTTTGTCTTTCCACCGTATCACTTTTTATCACCATGCTAGCCAAATGTATATGTGTGAAAGATAATTAATCCATAATGAAATTATTCATTACTAAACTTCGTTTAATTTAGGTAAGAAATTAAAAAGAAACAAAAAAAAAAACAATTTTGTTTGAAAGAAATAAAGGAAATAAATAATTTTATAAGTTATTTAGTATAAAAATATATATAAAAAAGGAAAAAATTACTTATATAATTTTAAAAAATTTAATAGATAAATTATGCTCATAAAATACATTGAAAGTATATTAGATAATATTAATATTTTTTGTATTATTTTTCTCTTTATTTATTTATTTTTGTATATTTACTCAAATAAATTTTAATACTACTAAAAGTTAATATTATTTGATCAAATAAAAAATATTTGTTAGTACGTATATCATATATTCTTGTTATTTTTTATATATATTTAATTAAATTATTCAGTTATAAAAATATAATTTTTTATTGAACTTATTTCTATTAGGTTTAGGTTTATGACCTTAATTGCTTATCCACGACAAATCTATTAAATGATAAATTTTTTTTATAATCTCGAATTGTGTAGTCTTGGCTACTCATGCCTTGCCACGTGTCCATTTTGTTACATGTTGTATTACTGTTAATTACTACTACGGTGTTTTCAAACTATGAAAAACATATCTCTTGTTAAATGCTTTGTGAAGTGTGTACAAGGTGCAAGAGAGGTCTTAATATGAATTTATTAATAAATTTAAGAAAAACACAAAAGGTATGAAATTATTACTATCATATTCAGATATTTCTTTATCAAACAAAATTAAATAATTTTGTTTCTCTTCACATTTTTTTCAATAAAATCAAACAAAGTGTTAATATTTATAAAATAAAAAATTTTGTAATGTGTGTTAAAAATTATAAGTTAGAAAAATAATTAAACACGCTATTTTAAAGAATTCAAATTATTGTACAATTATACATTAAATGCATTTTACACCTTTAAAAAAATTATATGTAATAATCATACTATGGTTTACAAGTATTGTAATAAATGCTTACAAATTTTTAGATGCATTTAAACCTTGAAATTGATGCAGATGTGTATATCTGAAATATAAAAGGTAATTTTGGGCTCAAGGGTTCTTGCATTACCTAATGTTAATATTTTGTAATTTGATTAAAAGATGATGCATATTTGGTACATAAAATGAAAATATTTAGGGCAATGAATTCTCGAGTAGCATTGGAGGGACAGATATCTCTTATATGCATAATTTGTTATCTTAGATAATAATCTTCAAGCATCCAAAAATTTATATAACAAAGTAATTGAATTTGTATAGTGTCCATGTAGATATGCTTGTTCACATTTGATGAACTTTTTATTCTAAAACTTTATTTGACAGTTTGAAGGGAGGGAGAAGAAAATAATTTGAAAAGTAAATGAGGAGAAAGGAATAGAGGGAGAAGGGAAATCAATACAAAATTTTTTAAATTTGAAGAAATTAAAAATATAAATTTTAAATAGTTTATAAATCACCCATCTCTTATATAAAAACTCTTAATAGCTAAACATCACATAAGTATTTATCTTCCCTTTCATTCTCTAAAAAAATTAACTTACAAATCCATTGAAAATTTTGACATGATTGCTTTTTATTTTTTTTACTACATGTTTTTTTTCTTCTTAAGATATTATTCTTAAATGTTTTATTATATTTAAAAATCATCAAGTGATGTTGTTATGAAATTTAATAGTAATATTATGTAAAATGTAAGTGAAAATTGAGATTTTAACCATAACAAAAAAATTATTTTTCACTTTTAATATTTTATATTTTGACAAATTAAATGTATTGTTTGTGAAAGATTATTTTAAAAGGTAAGCGATGGACTTTAAATATATGAATTTGAATGAATATAGATTCTTAATTTAAATAGTGAAAATAAGTATTATTTTAATTTTAAAAATAAGAAAGATTTTAGTTTTGATGTATTTGAAAAAATTTCATATAGGCAAAAAAAAAAAAAATTTAAATTGAAGTTAAAGATCACTTGAAATAATTTGTTACCAGTTAATTAAAATGTTTAATAGTTATTAATATGATACAATAGTACTATATTTTTTATAATATAAAATACTATAATTAAATTTAAAAATATATTAAATGTTTAAAATTGATATTATAAAAATCTTGAACATTTAAAATAATACAAACAAATTTACTTTCAATTTGTAATTAAATTTTTAAAAATATTTTCTAAATACATAGTTTATTTTATTTAAAAAAATTATAACCCTTTTTTTTTTTTGGTTGAAATACGTGATAACTTTAATAATGTTGATTAAACTAATACGATAACTAAGAGAATTAAATAATTATTATATTATGAAAAGAAGAAGAAAATTCTAAAACGCATGTACAGCTTACGATGTATTCGGAGGGAAATTTTGGAAGAAATTTTATATTTAATTAAAGGATTTATACAATCAATATATAATAGCATATATAATTATATTTATAGTAATAAATAATTAAGACAATTTACCGTGAAATTACGAAGCGCGCGAAATCGACAGAAAAGAAATCAATGCCTTTTTAACCTAATTTCTGCCAAATGGACCTGAACCTGAACCTGAACCTGAACCTCAACCTCAACCTCAACCTCACCTTCCGAGTCTAACTGCTAGTATCAAAAAAATAATCATGATCTCGGTATTCAAAATCTGAAGTATAAACTCTACCATGTCAATGGCGAACAAATTTGTCACTAGACGGGAGCTACTGGACAGGTGGAGTGGCATCGAGGAAGAAGAGGACAACGACGGCGACGATATTGTTGATCCCTCGAAACTTTGTCGCCTCCACCTCCAGAAAGAACAATGGTTCTTACCGATCCCTCCCTTTTGTTTTCAGCAGCAGAAATAATCCAAGTTACAATCAACCAATAGCATTTTGTTTCAATCATCATAGAGTTGCACTGTTGATATTAGGTTTCCCTTGAACTCCGCGTTTTGCTTTTAATGGGAATTATTTTGATTAGTTGCTGAAAGCAAAGTAAATTTAGAGTGATAATACAGAAACCAAATGTTTACTCTACTCTGTGCATTTGCCCTGTACACATTCCCCCTCTCCTCAATACAAGCACTATACAGATGACAATTTAAAGAATCAATAAGTAAACAAAGAAATAAATAATTGATTATGAAACATACTCATTTGTCATACTTGGTGACTGCTTCAAGAATAAAGTGATTATTGGGATTTTGTTATTCCTTCCTTCTGGATGAAAAGAAGCTCGGTCAAAGAGGCAGTGTTGCCTTTGCTGGTTTCATATCCAATAAGCCTTGGCATAGTTTCCTTAACACCTTTAATTATTTTCAGGTTTGCAGATGCATATAATTTTCTAAGTTGTTTGCCTAGTGAAAGTCATATTTGGTGTGGTTTTTGGGATATAATGGGTCCCCTTTTGGAGACTTTTTACAATTACTTCAAAGATGACCGCCAAGATTCACCTCTCAGGCAGTTATGGAAGAGACTCTCTGATGAAATGCGGCACTGCCTTCAATGCATTTCTCAGCATCATCAAGCCCAAGCCATGTATAATATGGAGTACGAGTCGAGCTCTGTTGGTCCTCTTCTTGATGTCTTGCAAAAGCTTGATTGTGAAAGGGTGACATTTCACCTGAGAGATATCAATGCAAAAATAGCAGGGGAGAAATACAATCCTGCTTGTGATAATGCTGAAGTTGTTAATGTTTTGTACGAGGTGCATTTTCTGGTTCTTTTCTTTGTCCCCAGTTCTGAATCTGCATAGTGGTTATAATATTTTACATTCTATATATTGGGATTGAATCCCTGATTCCTCTTTATAAACAGAGATTTTTGTTGCTTCTGAATAAGCACAGGAAATATGTTGACTGTAGTGGTACATCCAAATGTGTTTACTATTTTCCTTGGATATATTATTATGTATCTTTTTTGTATTGAAATTTTGGATACTGGTGAGTTGAAAAGCTCATGGAGAAGTGCAAGTTGAATATTGTTAGAATGGGAACAAATGGATTTTATTTGATTGTAATATAGTTATTATCTTTACTTCAGGCTGTTTTAAGCGCTTGTAGTTATAACTTAATTTCATTTAACTTGATTTGGGCATAAATTTTCTAATTTGAACTTTAGAGTTTACCAACTTATTTTCCCCCATCCATCATTTGATACAGGCATTGATGTTCCCAATTCTCTTGGATTATCAGCATCTGTTCACTGAGTTTGAGTTGTTTGTTGAAGCCATTGATAATAAGCATGAACTGGCTTTGTCAGGGCATCAACAATTTCCGGTAATTTTTATTTTGTTTACGTGCTGTGTATTTCTTCCTGCAGATTCACTATTGTAGATTGCTTACATGGTGAACCCATTTTCCTTCAGGGAGTTTATGCATTACTCTTTTGCAAGAGAAGTGTTCGTTCTGTTGGATATCGGTTAGCAGGATCAATGGGAAAACTGAGGTACTTATTGTTGGTTGGCATGAAAGAGCTACAGCTTCACTAATTATTATTTGATATTTAAGTTGATGATGCCCCCATTGAAATTAGGTTTTCTGAAAGTAACTTTTCCGTATCTATAAATCCTCAAAAAAGTATTTATTAATATCTTACATCAAACAAGACTATTTTTTAATTAAAAGAGATATGAAAGACAGGCAGCCAGAGTTTTCAAATGCATGCTAGCATATCGTAATTACCAATTACCATTGATGAATAATGGAGATGAACCTCATTGCTTATCTTCTCTTCACCACTGTCTTCTGATCGAGCTTTTTGCTGTGAGATATTTTAGAAGCTTTTCTGTCATTTTGATATGATTAATGTTTTAATCTGTGTGTAGGAGAGCAACAGACTTGGAACCATTGCAGCCGTTGCTTAAGAAGTTTATTGGCTGTTTAGAGGCAGATGCTTTACCATTGGCTTTGGAGACCTCAGCACCAAGAACTCAACTGGATCGTGTGTCTTTATGGATTGGTATCAAATCACTGTAAGAAGTGTTTGTTTAAATTATGGATCAGTATCAATCTTTAGCAGTCTGCTCTTTACTATACTAATGTATTTTTTTTGGTACATCTTTATGTATGTTTTGTAAAGGCTTGGTTTCTTGGATCCTCCAACTTTTGAAGAGGGGATACTGGAACGCTATCCCTTTTTTCTTGATATTGTGCTCAATCATATTAGTGGTGATTCACTTGAATTTTCACATGCTGTTACTTGCTTGAGACTACTCTTTGAAATGCTTGGTATGTATTAAACCTTTCCAATTTGAAGTTTCTTTTTAATTAGTTTATAATTGCTTGGCTGACATTTTCTTTTGTTCTTTTGGCTTGGTTTGAGGTTGTAAGCTTTGGTTGAGGTCTACATTGTCTCCAAGTGTAATGCGCAACACTCTGATTGGTCAATGCTTCCATACTCGCAATGAGAAAATCCATAAAGATATTTTTAGTCTATTCCAACCTTTTCTACAGGCACGTATGCATATTGATCTGGTGTTTGTGTGTGTGTATTGGGAGGAGGGCTTGTTCTTGTATTGACATTATTTAGATGTTTGATCCTGTGTTCCAGTCACTTGAAGCTTTGCAAGATGGGGAGCTTGAAAAGCAACGTAGGTATTTTCTCTATTTTCTCCTCCATCAAGTGCCAGTGAGCAGTAACTACAGCGTTCTAACAAGAAAATTGGCATGTCAGGTTATTATTACCTTTAGATTTCTGCATGATGGCTATATATAATGGATGGGCTATTTAGCTTTAATAATTAATACTGCAAGTTGAAGTTGTTTTGGCTTATCTCAGTGGCTATATATAAGATTGTCTTTTTCAGATAGCGCTTCTTGTTGTACACCGAGGTTACAAGATGAACCCACCCTGTCCTCCTGTTGAGTGTGCCCATATGTGGTATGTAGTCACCTCCCTATTTCAGGGTTTGAAATTTAAATTATCAACTGAGTAGTCAATTTGCTGAAAAAATAAGTAAGTTTACCTAGCTTCAATTTAACAATGCAGAATATTGGAACTAAGAAATTGACTGAAATGGAGAAAACTTTAGAGGAAAAGTAAGTTGATGCTTCATACAGTTTTTGTTTTATCATAAGATGATTAATAAAGAGATGACTAAACTTGGCAGAGAATAGTAACTAAGGAGGATGCAATCAATCTGTAGCCAACTAGGTCCTACTTCCTGATAAAGAATTCAGGAAATCTCTAAAAGAAGGCTTATCTCCAATCTGAAGATTGATTCGATTGAACTAATAGCTCCGTAAAAGAGGTGGTTTTTGACCGAATTAGTATTTATATTTAAGGTGTGTTTTGATAACTACGTATTTAACCACTTATTCAATAAACTCTTTTTAAAATGATTACTCATGTCTTAACTTTAACGATGGAAACTTACTAGGATAAGCTGAAAATAGCTTATTTTGATAAGTTATACCTAGAAGTTTATTGAAATAAACTAACAGCTAATGAGAGTCATAAGTTGGTTTCTATAAGTTGTTCATAAGTTCTTCAAAATAGGCCCTCATATGTTCAGGATCCTTTTGTGCTAGCATAATATTTTCTGACTTAGCACCCATCCAGCATCTAACAACTCTTCATTGAAAGTGATTCTGATTGATTTGTTTTGGCTGTTTTAGAAAATTTGAACAAGTTATGCAGTCCAAACGTGGGCATTTTTTTTTTTGTGAGAGTATATTGTGTTCCAAAGTTTTGATATGATGCAAGTAAGCAACATTGTAAACTATCAATCCAACACTGGATTAGTGTGAGGGAAGATTGATTTTGATTTCTGCCAGTGTACTAAATGTGGTGAATCTTATAGCAGATGCCAATATTCATTGAATTTTGCTCTACAGATTGCCATGGCTTTGATACTAATTGACATGTGATGTAAAGAAGAAAGAGATAAGCAATACATGGTGCGATCTTGGATAGAAATCTTGTATTTACCAAGGCACTAGGAAATCCTTGTTATAATATGTTACTGAGTATAAATTCTGTCTTTTTTTACAGATAACAGATCCTTTCGTAAGCATATTTAAACTTTTACCAAAAATTGAACACTCATCTAGAACTTTAAATCTGTATAATAGATATCCTGATATAGGACTGTACCTTTTTCCCTGTTTAGAGCATGCTTTGGAGCTTGTTCATGTTATTGCATTCTATTTATTTCTGGGAAAATCAGGAAAATAAATAAGGTGATTTTGATGAGTTAAGGCACAAAAATTGGCCTTCTTTAATGCTGCATTGCCATTGCTGCAACAGTAACATCAACTGGGATACCCACCTAGTAAATTGTATGTATGGATGTTATTGTATGTAAATACTGTCCTAGATCTCAATATAAAACTGCTACTGCGTATATGATATAGATGAGCATAACCACAAAGCAATGTGTTTATGATATACTTGGATTGATCTTTTATTCATTGATGTAGTTGCCTGATCATTTTCTTGACATTTGTGTTGGACAGGGGACCAGCCCTTGTGTCATCTCTGAAGGACTCCTCACTTCACAATTCTTTGAGGCAACCTGCTTTTGACCTTATACAGACTATCATAGTATCAGATGCTACTGCTTTAATATATTCAGTGCTGAATTGTTGCAGAACTCCAAGCACTGATAGTAGCATGGCAATTGAGGTCATTGAGTTGGATGATGAGAATGAAGATATTTGGCTGCCAACTATTCCAAATGGTGAAAAGAAAGATGATAGTTCTTGGAGTCAATTCAGTGTGCAAAGTGGAATAACTTCTCAAGAGTGCCGAGAATGGATGTGCATTCCAATGTTATGGGTTGATGTTTTAGTTGATATCGATCCCTCAGTCCTTCCAATTTCATTTTCTAAAGCTGTCTTTTGGGCACGATCTCGTTTTCCTATGGTTGAACTTGAGAATAGTGCTGAAATGGTGCTTCCAGTCAGATCTTTCCTTTCATCTCATGCCGCAGAAATTTCTTTTTCGTTTGGGTGGAAGGTTCCAACTGGTTCTGATGATGGTGGAGATGGAAACAAATCACAAAACTCAGTTGATTTGTTGACTATGTCTTTTCCATTAATGAAAACATTTATTAGGTTTCTAACTCCAGCTTGACTTTATATTTATGTTAAATTAAAGTCCATCTTGTGGTTTTAATTTAAAAGTCAATTTTTTTAAAAATTTCTTGACTAATTATCTGGAGTTACACCTCAGGTTAACTGCACATTTTTTAGTTCAGATAAGACAAGGAGAGCTTCGAAGGCAGTGGACTTGGGAACCACTGATGAGTGAAAGCGTGATCCTTTCACTTTTGGATCCAAATGATGTAATATGCCAAATTTACGTAGGATGTGTAGATCATGCTAGTTACCCTTGTCAAACTGTGATGATTTTTGTTCTCATTCTTTTTCTTATCTGGTTTTCTCATACAGGATGTTAGACAATTTGGAAAATCAATGTTGGAACAAGTTTCCGATACTCGGGGTCTTTCATGTGGATTGAAGTTTCTTTGTTCTCAGAAGTCCTCATTGTATGCAACTATTTTGGGCCTCAAACATGCTATGAAACTGGTAATATTTTCAGCAAATGTTTTCTTGATAATAGTGTTGTTGGTATCCGCCCTTTCTTTGTTGATGTGTGTTTGGCTGGGTGGTGTTTGGATTAAAAGGAAATTTCATTGGGGAAGGACATGGATCCCATGAAACTAGAGCCAAATGGCTCTAGAAAGCAACGGTGCCATGAATTCTCTTTGCATGTTAGATTGCAAACTCCCTTGAGACAGCCATCGGTGGAGCCCCTAGAGATTTTGATTATATTCTTATAGTTTAGTTTTGATAAATAAATAATAGTGTCTGTAAGTATGGAGGTGTCAACTTAAGAATTTGAACCATATAAGGGTGTTGGCTCTAGCATCCAAGTGATAAATAATATTTAATTAGACATCTTGTGAGAAGTATCGAACACATGTAGCACGTGTCTGAAATATTTCAAACGCGTTGATGCCTCAAGCAGAAGAAGTGTCTACGCTTCATAGTTATCTAGTCAAATACACTAGGGAACTGCAAACACCTACTTATTGCAAGGGAATTCTGCTCTCCCTGTTCTTACAAAAATCTATAGCATTGAAGCTACAAGTTTTTCTCTGTTGAATTTGACTGGGTGAATTTGGTCTTCTCATTTTATGGACAGGCTTCTTAGTGCCAGTCGATTATTTAGTTTAAAATGAATTTTGCCTACAGGTCATTTGATTGTTTCCCTTTATTTTTGCAATTTTTCTGATGCCATTGTGTATCCATGCTAGGTGCAACTGGATTCTGTTCTGTTGAAGTTTCATACTCTGCATCATTTTTGGTTTCTTTTATGCAAATTACTCAAAGATGAGGGTCTACTTACTCAGGAGTTTCCTGAAAATACACGTAGTGACTTCAGAGTGCTAAAATTCTCTTCTCAAGGAGGTTTTTTAAAGCAGCCAGATTTTGATTCTATGCCTGAGGATGTTGTTAAACATGCTAGCCATGTTGAACTAAAAGCAAAAGAAAAAATTGGTTGCTCACTAACTGAAATGGCATGGCCTATTTTCTGTAGGTGCCTGGTAAAAGGCAAAGACGTCATTGATTACAATCTTTGCCAGGTATTATTATCTGTCTTTTTTTCCCCTGTAGTGTTTTTTTTTTTCAAACACTTAGTTATTTAACAGAACATGTAGAATACTAGCATAGTTCTCTGCACTCTGCAGTGCTTTTAACATTTAATGACGTGCAATTATGAAAATTTTGTTTCTTTGTGGTCACTAAACCTATCCTGAAAACAACTTGTAATGAACTCTATACTTCTACTGTCTAAAATTTACTGATGAACATTGCTTGTTGTCACACAGACTTTGTGGTTGTTTGTTATATATGATTGGAGAGACATGCTAGAATTTTCACTGGTCGTGTGATACCTTTGAAGTTCATTTAGTTAAAGCTGTTCACTTATCCTCTTGCTTTTTATCTCTCTTTTCTTTCTTGATAAATTCTTTATAGAAAAAATAATAAACATTACTTGTCATAAATGAATTGATACTTTAATTTTTGCTGCTGATTTCGGAATTGAGGTAAAAGTCTATTAGTTGATTTATGAATGTATGATTTCATCACATTTGGGTTTTATTTATCTTTTCCTTATCCTCCTTACATCACTCTAATAATTTCTCTTTGTCTCAATTTCTTCTTTTATATAAAAAATTAAACTTCTTAACTGCTAAAGTTCTCCGAAAATATTGGTTTTAGAAGCAGGAAATTCTTCACTCTAATAGTTTCTTGTTTTTCAGATGACTTGTGTTCGGTTACTTGAGGTTCTCCCTGTTCTTGTTGATAAATTCCACCTATCCAGTGGTAAAGAGCTTGGGAATTTCACAATGCTGGTACAAAATAAATTGGATTTGAAATGGCTTCATGATCTCATGGAATGGGGGAAATCATCACTTAAAGTTGTTGTCATTTATTGGAAGCGAGCAGTTACTTATATACTGAATCTGTTCAAAGGTTCTTGTGATAAAACTTCTCTGTCAACAATCATGACCATTGAAAATCTTATTTCGAATGGTCAGTTTTGTTTCTGTACGCAATTGTTTTTCCCCATGATTCTTAGTTCTATGTCATTAATCTATTTTGCTTATGTTTTGCAATTTCAATTTAGATGGTTATACTTTGGAAGAATTGACAGAACAAGTGTCTCGCCTGTCCGTTTCTCTGTCTAGGGAAGGCTCTCATAATTTTCAAGAGGAAAATGTGAAGCACAACTTGGTATCTGAAAGCTTTCCTTTTGGGAAGAGCTGTTATAATTCAGATATCGATTCTTCATCCATGGAGGATATAGGTGTACAAATTGGGGACTCTAAAATAATGACCGGCAAAACAGACACTGAAAGTGTAACTATTCTTTCTGATGATGAAGTGGAAACGAACGTTTCGTCCAAGAAGGTCATTTTATCAGTTAGTGAGGCAGGTCATCACATATCTGATGGCAATTTTATGCTACGTGATGCTGGTAATAGTTTACCAGCTGCTGACCTTGCAAAGCAGAATGTTTCTCACTTGAAAACTTCCAAGAAAATGAAGGAGACCTTCCAGAAAAAGGCTAATACTGAAGTTTTCAGCCTTTCTTCTCAGAAACTGGACTCTGGTAATTCACATTATAAGCCTATGATCACTTCATTTATTGATTCAAAAGGGCCAGGCAGTTGTAGGACAGAAGTAAGCTCAAAATTCAAGGATAGGGTTAATTTGACAAAATTATCTGATGAAGCTGTTGATGCTAAAAATTTGAATAAAGCTTGCAGCAGCATGGCTCCCAAAACAGGCGACACTGTGTCAAGTACTTGTAATAAAATGTTACATGATTTTCAGGATGCTGAAGATGATCCTCTAGAGACTGCATTGAAATCTGTGGGACGTGTCCAGTTGCATGTACCAAAGCCTACTTCAGTTTTGAAAAGACAAGTTATTCAACTCAAAACACCTCTTGAAAACAGATCTGGTTGTCTCCATAAATTGGAGGATCCAGTGAAAAGATTCAAGCCACCAAAGTTGGATGATTGGTATAAACCTATTCTTGTAATAAATTACTTCGCAACAGTGGGATTGTCGTCTGCAAGAAAAGATGAAAACCAAACTGTTACCAAGTTAAAAGAGGTTCCTGTATATTTTCAATCTCCTGAACAGTATGTGGACATATTTCGGCCATTAGTTTTGGAGGAGTTTAAAGCACAGCTACAGAATTCTTTTCTTGAGATGTCTTCATGGGAGATGTTTTATGGAATTCTTTCTGTGATGTCAGTTGAGAGAATTGATGACTTCCATCTTGTTCGCTTTGTCCACGATGATGGTGATTCTAAAGCATGTAGGAGCTTTTCAGAAAATGACTTTCTTTTGCTAACAAAGGATCCTCCACGAAAATCTTCTCATGATGTTCATATGGTTGGAAAGGTACACTGTCATCTGTGTGATTGCTATCATCTAAATATTTTTCTCAAAGGTGTTTGATGTCCTACAATTAATTGTTCTAGGCTACACATGGTTGAGTAGGTGGAAACTGTGAAGGTTGAAAATGAAGGAAAATTGCTTCATACTTGTTTGATACAATAAAATTGCAGAAAGCTTGAAAGTCTAATGCAACATTTTTGTGATCCACCTCACTTATTTTGGTCACACCTGTCTGAGTTGGGAGTGTGAAAGGTTAAAACCTTTCAACCCCAATCAATTTTTATTTCCATCCTTATTGTCAACCTACTCAAACTAGCATTTTCCAAGTGTTTCTACAAATTCTTTGATAATATCATTAGCATATGGATCCACTTTATTGGCATATCATGTTTTGTTGAGAACTTTATCATATATCAATAATTGTTTAGTCTTGATTGGTATTGTGTGTTGTTCATCTTGCTGATAATTGATTTCTGAGTCTTTAATCAGCCATGATTGAAGAAAGATTGCAATAGCCAATACACCACAAGTCAGTTGCACTTTGAATTCTCATGCTAATATCACAGTTTATTCCAATTTGTCTTTTATCAGAAATAAAATTAATCATCTTGTTTTTTGTGCTAAATGGAATTCATCATATGTAAGATTGACTCTGGCTGACTGCCAGTTGTTTAAATTAATCACTATGGTTAACTTTTTTATGAAAAAAAAAAAATTGTGCTGGCTCCCCAACGTGGCAAAAACTAACCTCAAGCCACTTTTGCTCCTCACTGCAACTTGAAAGGGGAAACCGAACACATCTTTGTCATGCTAAAGCAGTCAATATGTTTTTGCAGGTTGAAAGGCGGGAGAAAGACAATAAAAGAAGTTTAAGTATTATTCAGATCAGGTTCTATTTTCAAAATGGTTCTTCACGGTTAAATCAAGCTAGAAGGAATCTCACTGAACGAAGTAAATGGCATGCATGTCGTATAATGAGCATTACCCCACAAATTCGTGAATTTCATGCATTGGCATCAATAAAATACATACCCTTACTTCCTCTCATTTTAAATCCTGTCAAGGATTCCTTTTGTCTGAATGATTGTAAAGAAGTAGATCTCAATCATTTGTGCCAGTCATTGCAACAAACCTTGAGGTCATCGTTTAATCTCAGTCAGCTTCAAGCAATAAGTGTTGCTATTGGAAAGGCTAAAGCAAAGAAAAATGTTGAATTATCTCTTATTCAGGGTCCTCCAGGTAGTTGATCCTCCTCTGGCTATCTCTTGACTAGGAAGATCTTGTCATTTTTGTACTTGTGATTTTTAAATCATCAATTTACATGTATGCTTATGTAAATGTAGGAACTGGGAAAACTCGAACTATTGTTGCAATTGTCAGTGCCATTCTGGCTTTTCGACAGAAGATGAATTCTCTAAAAAATTCTTTAGATGAAAACTTGAACCAAAATTCTTCTTCTACCCATTCAAGACCAAAGATTAACCAGAGTGCTGCCATTACGAGGGCATGGCAAGATGCAGCCTTGGCTAGACAATTGGGTGATGATATCCAAAGTTCTTCAAAATCTTTTGGAAATTGTGCAAGACAAAGAGTGCTTATCTGTGCTCAATCTAATGCTGCAGTGGATGAGTTGGTGGCAAGAATTTCTAGCCATGGACTTTACGGCACTGATGGGAAGACGTACAAGCCTTATCTTGTAAGGGTTGGAAATGCAAAAACAGTTCATCCAAATTCACTGCCATTCTTTATTGACACACTTGTTGATCAACGGGTAGCAGAAGAGACAATGCATACAATTTACGGGAATAATGATTTGAGGGTAGATTCGTCTGCTGTATTGCGGTCTAATTTAGAGAAACTAGTTGATTCTATTAGGTTCTATGAAACCAAGCGTGCTAACATAACAGATGGGAATTCTTATGTTAAAAGTCATCTGCATAATGACTCCCATATGGCAGATGCGAAAGAAATGTCTGAGGCAGAAATTGGAATGAAGCTTCGTAAGCTATATGAACAAAAGAAACAAATATATAAAGATCTTTGTAATGTTCAGGCTCAGGAAAAAAAAGCCAATGAAGAAACCAAGGCTCTTAGGAATAAGCTGCGAAAGTCTATACTAAGGGAAGCTGAAATTGTGGTAACTACATTAAGTGGCTGTGGTGGGGATATTTATGGAGTATGCTCAGAGAGAACGTTTAACACCAAGTTTGGAGGTCCATCTGAACATAACCTCTTTGATGCTGTTGTAATTGATGAAGCTGCCCAAGTATATTTATCTTTGTTCTGTTATAAATAGTTTATCTGCAATCCTCTGGTTACCTTTTTTGTACTTTCTGACCAATATTTGTTGCAACAGGCTCTTGAGCCAGCTACTCTGATTCCTCTTCAGCTTTTAAAATCAAGTGGGAGCCAATGCATTATGGTAAGAGTACTAACTCACACTTTTAAATTTCTGGTATGGGGCCAATAGTTTCACTGACCTTTCTAATTTATTCAAGGTTGGTGATCCAAAGCAGCTTCCGGCAACTGTCCTGTCCAATGTTGCAAGTAAATTTCTTTACCAGTGTAGCATGTTTGAACGTTTACAAAGGGCTGGGCATCCTGTTATTATGCTTACTGAACAGGTACATATTCACCATTGGCTATGGTCCTAAAATGTGCCTTTGAAACTATTAGTTTGAAGCTTTATTGCATGCCATATACTTAGGTGGTTCTGAGAGCAATCATCATAGTTTGATTTTTGGCAGAATGCAATGGTGTCATTTGATCCATGTAGTAGCTGATCCCAACTAGTGAGAAATTTTTTTTTATTTTTAATTTTGGTATGATTGGATCAAACAATGGTTAGATGGAAATTGAGGAATTTGGTTTGACAAAAGATACTCAAAGATAAATCTGATTTTGGGATAGGTTTAAGTGATGTGTTTCTTTATTTGTAACAGAAGCTCGTTTATTTTTGCAGTGCTCAGCAGCCATTTCCATATGGAATATGCATTTTCGTGAATTGTTGGAGTGCCTTGAATTTGTATTTTTGTTTTGATTAGTTTTACAACTTCAAAGAAAGTAAGGGGGTTTTTGGGGCTGTGTGCTATTATGCATGCATTTGGGGTGTTTTTCTGAAGGAAGTCAGAGATACACAAGTTTCAATATTTAAATTTGTTTTTCAACCCTTTGATGCTTAGCTCAAGGTTTTCTTATGGGAATCGTGTTGATGGGTAAGCAAACGGATCAAAGTGTTCTTTTATGATGATGAATTTGTTTGTATTTATTGTGTTTTTCTTTTACTTCTTGGTTAAGAGGGTATCTTGTCCTCTTCTGTAAGTACTTTCTCCCTTAAAACTATTGAGATCCCACATTGGCTACATATATGACTAAAGTAGAAATTATAAAGGTGAATACAATCCTTATCTTATGAGTTAGCTTTTGGGGTTGAGCTAGGCACAAACCTAAATTTATGATGGTATCAAAGTATATTGTAGATTTTATTTTGGGACATCCTTTATTGCAAAAAGAAAAAAAACTAACCTCACAAATATTTGTAGTGCAATTACCCTCAATCCATGACTTTATATTGTTTCCTGCTCTTGTGCCCTTGAGTCTTGGAGGTTATCATGAATTCCAATGAATCAAAACTCAATATTTTTATATTGAATTCAATCATTGATTAGAGATTACCTCTTTGATATTGTATCTGTATGTGATAACCACATTTCCCAAAATCCTTAGTCTTAGGATTCCTAAAGCTGTCTTGTTCTTAGGGTATCTTCTTCTGCTGTTTTGGTAGACATGGGGTGTTGTATTTTATGTTGCCCTGTTTTATGACTGAAAACTAAATCCCTTCCTTCATGATTTTTCTTCCAATGGCAGTATAGAATGCATCCAGAAATATGCAAGTTTCCTTCATTTCATTTCTATGACAACAAATTGCTAAACGGAAGCCAAATGTCTAGCAAATCAGCACCATTTCATCAGACCAGGGGCCTCGGGCCATATGTATTCTATGATATCATCGATGGCCGGGAGGTTCATGGGAAAAACTCTGGTGTAATGTCACTTTGTAATGAACATGAAGCTAACGCTGCAGTTGAAGTACTAAGGTTTTTCAAGAAAAGGTACAAATTTAATGTCTTTCTCTCTTACCTTTCTATTTAAGACAGTGATTGCTTACAAAAACTATGTGAATGTCTCCTAAGGTACCCATCTGAATTTGTTGGTGGAAGAATTGGTATTATTACTCCATATAAGTGTCAACTTTCCCTTCTACGATCTCGTTTTCTTAATGCTTTTGGACCTTCAAGCATAGCTGACATTGAATTTAACACTGTGGATGGTTTTCAAGGTAGAGAGGTGGATATATTGTTACTCTCTACTGTAAGAGCAGCTCATTTAAGCATTTGTGATTCTGAAATCAACTCAAAATCTATTGGATTTGTTGCTGATGTTAGACGGATGAATGTAGCCTTGACAAGAGCCAGGTTATCACTTTGGATTTTGGGTAATGCAAGAACTTTACGGACAAACCAGAACTGGGCTGCTCTTGTGAAGGATGCTGAAGAAAGAAACTTGATCATGATGGCTAAGATGCCATATCATTCAATGTTTAAAACAGATAAAAATAAACCTTCCATTGAAAATTCTGCTAATCATGTAAGACCATTGAAGCATGAGAAGAAGGTTAAAGATAGTGGCCAGAGCGTAACAAAAAATTTGGTTCATGACAAGGATATAACTGAGAGGAAAAGGAAATGCGTTACCTCTGAAGTCAGGGACAGGGATGAGGGTAATGGGGATGAAAATACTTGTTCAGATTTGGGAAAAGAGGCTCTGTGTAAGGAAAGGAATTTTGAAGATGAGCATGTTTCCATTACAAAGGATATGGGATGTCTAGTTGCAAAATGTGAAAGCAAAAGCTCCGTTGGTGGCATGTTTAGAATGTTAGGTCAACAGGCTTGTAACAATGGAAGGGAAGGAAAAGATAAATTGAAGACTGGCATGGGGAAGACAAAATTGAGTAAAATACAATCAAAATTTCAACATTCAAGGAATAATTTAGACCATCCAGTGGAAGAGACAGGTCTTGGCCATAATGCGTCAAAACTTTCAGCATCAGAAAGACTGAATATGCATTCTGAAAGGGATAGGAGCCGTTCTACTAAAGCTTCTGCTTCCTCAATGAAAGGCCGTCACAAAGAGAGACATGCAGATGATCAAGCTGAAGCTCCTAGTCAAAGTAAAGTTGCCGAAATTTCAACGAGGAAACAGCAGCGTGAAGCTGTTGATGCTATTCTTTACTCATCTCTGATATCTGCAAAGAAGAATGACGCATCAGCAAAAGTTTCTGGAAAAAGGGCCTTTTCATCATCTGATGCTAGTGGGAGTACGAAACCACCTAAGACAAGAAGTGGTAAAGTTCCTGGACTATCTTTACTAATGTTGTATGATTTATGAATGTGAGGATACCAAGAAAACAATATTGTGAGGATACCAAGAAAACAATATTGTCTGGAGCTGGAGCCTTGATAACAAATATAAAGTTTTACTAATTGACTTTCTCTTTTCTAACTTCACTCTATTAAAACATCAGGTGATATTGTTCCCTCTTCTCGTGTCAAATATTTGTCATTGTTTTAGATAATTATCAGCTGTCAACTAAAAGTGCTATTGAAGAATAATTTGGTTAAAGTTTCTTTTGCATTCTTCTCTCAGCTGTGCTTGCAATTGCATATGTTCTAGATTTTATATCATGTTACTCCAAAGATGATATAAAGGAACATATGTGAAATGCCGACTTGTGGTTAGGCAGGGGCAGGTTGATTGTATAAATGTATTGTCTCTCAGATGTTAGCTTTTTCCAATTCTATTCCCAATGACTGTACTCTCTAATCACAAATTTGACTTTACTGGCCGTTAGATGTAAGTTAAATAAAAAGTTCAGATTTAATGTACGAGTTTTTAGATTTACACTAGTGTAAGAAGATCCTGTCCTATATATATATATATATATATATATATATATATATGGAACAAGATCTTCTTACGTTAGTTTAAGTCTAAAAATTTTTACACTTAATCTAAACTTTTCATTTAACTTATATCTAACGGTTAATAAAGTAATAAATTATAACACGTTAAATATAAATTAAATGAAAGGTTTATATTGAGTATAAGTTTTTAGTCTTACATTAGTATGTTACTTGCTTAAAGTTAAGAATTTTGGCAACTTTTTTTAAAAATTGATTATCTAATATTTTTTATAAAATTTATTTTTTTGATTGCTAATAAAAGCTAATTATGAATTTTTTTTTTTCTGAATTTGAAACACTTTTTCAGTGAGGCTAGATCAGTGAGCACATTAACAAATTTGCTCTGAGGATAAGGCTGAAGCTTTTCATGGATTCTGTTCTGTGATCGCCTTTTTGACTTCACCTACTTCAATGCTGATGATTTTTTCTGCTTATGTCCAATGCTTTCCCATCTATGTTTTGTAATTTGGAGATTACTGAAACATGTAATGAGAAATACTAGTAGCAGATTTTTAGGTAAATGCGAGAAATTTTGTTCATATTATACAATTTTTTTTTTAAATATAATATTATACAGTACTAATCAATTATCGTGGATAATTCTTGAAGTAAGGAGATGTATTGTACATTGTTCTACGCATATTTTTGAATCACATTTACCAATAGAATGGTAATGTTTTTTTCTCTTAATTTACATTATTTTAGTAATGAAGGATTCTAGCAAGATACTCAACTATTGATTAAAATTTATTAAAAATTAAAAAAAATATAAGAGAAAAATATTAAATTAGTAGTGAAAAGAATGTACACAATTTTTATAGTTTTTAATAAATGTTAATTAATAGTTAAAAGTTTGTTAAACAAAATATGTTAACAATTAGTTTAAATATTAAGTGAAATTAATTGAGTCATTAAATATGATTAAATAATGTGCATGAAAATATGTATATAGATTAATTTTAACTCCACATTTTTATTAGCATCTTTTGAAACGAAAAGTGAAAGGATTGATTTTGTAACTTTAAAACGAATATATGTTCTATTGAACTAAAAAAATATTTATAAATAAATATTTAAATTTAATTATAATAATTTACCCTTTTATGTCAAAATTAAATAATTTTTAACATCTTAAAACAATAATTTAAACATAGAAATTAACAGATAAATTATCATACACCCACACCTATATAATTTATACTTTTAGGTGTTAAATTTTGTAAGAATTTTTTTGTTTATATTTTATAATAAACTTTATAAATATATAAAAATAAAAAATAAAAAATATATCATATTTAATGAATATTACATTTAATTAAATTGTTTAAGGTAAATAAGTATCGAGCTGTGAGTATACTTTGCAATATTGTACTAAGGACAATGCTGAATGATATTTGTAGTAGTACATAGTAACTGACCTTATTATATGAAACTCGAGAGTTAGACGTATGTTTGTATTCACGGGTGTTAATTGAGTTGCTGAATGGGTGGTATAATAAAGGATGAAAATGGTTTTATAAATAAATGAAAATAAGTAATATTTATGAAAATTGTGTTTATAGGTTTTTGGACTCCCTGAAGTCTCATTGATAATTTAGAATATTCATAACAGAATTTTTTTGTAGATGTTCACAGGAACTTCGTCATTTTCATGCAGTATGTGTTATGTTCTGAGTTATTTTTCTTGTGTTGACAATTTTAGGTTTTTTTCCCCCATAAAATGGGTGTTTGAAGATTGCACGTCGGTTCGTGGAGAGAAAATCTAATACCGCGTGATGAATTTTTTTCTTCTTATTGAAGAGGGTATTTCTTTCTTTTCTGAATGATTACATGGGACACAAGATTATGTTGGAATAAATATAATTTCTACAATGGGAATAACATCTAAAAATACAGCACTATTATGATATTTACAGGCTATCATTAGAAGAAGGCACAGGAGGATAAACGAGCATCCTTCCGACATCCATAAATTCAGCAGCAAATTCTTCATCATTTTTTCCCAGCATATCCTTTAAACTACATTTGATATTCCTTCCTTTCAACACCCAATATCTGGGCTTTATCTTCTTTGCTAGTGAATAGCTAAAATACCTAGGGTAGCCCACCACATCTCTTACTGGCCTCTCCATTGAATTCACCAAGAATTCTATTTTTGGCTTCAGAACCCCATCTATACTGTACCCAAGGAGAGGAGAAAATGTGCGTACCATAAATGCAATATCTTTCTCTGAAAGCCCTAATTTCATCAAGTACAGTACCCTGCAGAACATCAACAAATCAAATTACTAGTTAAAAAACAAGATGCATGACACCTCAATCATTCAATCACTCCAGGAGAGAAGCAAGGTTCATGTTTCACTTTTCTGTTAATGCAATGCAACATTTACGAAGTGGTCATGAGGCAGCCGAAGAAACTGGAAATTTAACCTTTGTTTGGCTGCAGGTTATTTTCTTTTATTCTCCACGTCTAATAATCAGAGAAAACTGAAACTTGAAACACAGCAATACCATAGTTATACGATTCTAAAATCTAAACACTAAGAGTTACAAATAGTAGATACTCGATGCCAGAAAATGACACAAGGTGTCCAGGTAATGTACTAAATATTGATTGGGCAAGACTAAACAAGTATGATACTGGAACAACGGCAAACAAAAGATAGATGAGTCAGAACAAACCTTTGCAGTAAAGTTGTGTCAGTGTCAGAAACAAGTAATTCTGGATACTTTCTGATAACCCCACAAAGGAAAGTTTTAGAAACACCAACCCCACCAAGGAATTCAATCTTCCTCTGTAGTGTATTATTGATGCTGGCAGCAAAAATTTCAGGGCAGCGGGCAAGTATTCTCCCAACAGTTTCTTTATCAAAATCCATATTTTCAAAGAACAGAACAATCTGTAGATAACAATGAGCAAGGGTCTTGAACGGAAGATTTCTGAATATTATTTATTTCTGATAATAAAACGTTACAAGGCTATACATTATATAGACTAGACCGCTTAAAAACATTCCCCAAAAATTGCTAAAAAATTAGTTGGCAATGGCATCCCACCAATTTTTATCTAACCCATACTTACTCTATATTACTGGAAACATGACAATGTAGTTTGGGAAGTGCTGAGCCACATTGCTGCCATGGCAATGTTTTCAGGCACCAAATTCCCCAGACCAAACATCCTTCTATCTTACGCCTCTAACAATCCTCCTGGCCAATGAGATTGTCTCTTTCTTGCTCCCTGACAACAAACCAGAGAAAATTCCCCATAATATTCTACATCCTTTGAGTCATTACTCCAAGATCCCCAAAAGGTAAATAGAAATGCCAGATAAGCAAGTCTAAATGAGAGTAAACCAACCTCTCAAGACGTAAAAGGCTTCAATTATTTAAATGGTTAGAAGACTTTTCAAGGACTGGATTTCAAAAAGAAATAGTTCAATGATTACCACAAAACAAAATTCACAACTAAGAGGTTGTTGCAAAAAGTCACAATCAGCTGGAGAACCACAGGAAGGAAGAATCTAAATATCTACATTCAAATAAGCCAAACTAATCTTAATCATATTAATCTTCAAACCAGAAAGAGCATTTTTTATCATAAGATTAGAAAAATTAATAGCAAAACTATCACTACCCTCCTCTAGAAATAGTCAAAGAAAAAATAATAGCATCTATATCGTCATGAAGCAACTAAACAAAAGCTTAAGCTGTCAATTGAAGACACGTGAATACTTTTATACTTCTATAGCCTCTCTAATACCCCGCCTCACAAAAACCCCTTAGGGCTTGAAGGGAGGACAATGGACAAGCTGCCAGCCTTGTTCTTAATTTCAACTTTCCTTATTTAGAAGAATGAGTGAAGCAGTGTTTGAAATCTGGACCACTTGGTTAATACCATGTCACGAACCTACTATCCCGAAAAGCTTATGTTGTTCAGGGAATGCAGATTTCATGCTTTTATAACATCTCTATCACATATCATAACACTTGATTGAAGCAAAAAAGAAATACCTGTAGAAAGTCTTCAGGCTTCCGCAATAGTAGTTGAGGACTTTTAGCAATAACCCGATTCAACTTTTTGCCTTGAACTCCTAGTTCTGCAAACTGATCCACCATCAACTTCAGCTTGCTAGTTGAACAACCCAATAGATGAGGCTGGCTTTCAATTGCACGGTCTATCCAAGTCGTTGGAACCTATAATGAAGCATGCCATTATTAGTCCGGTGCTTATATAAATCATTCTATCAATCAAACTAATGAAGATGACAAACGGACACGAGCACTCATGACACAACAGAATCTTACCTTCAAAGAGTATAAAAAGGCAAGGACCTCCGTGTAATTCCTTTGAATGCTCGTAGATAGAATCCAAGGATATTTTAGCAACAACTTAGCATAATCTTCATCCACGATATCAATCTAAAAAATAATATAATAGTCATTTATTAGTTCAAGGTAGAAAATGAGATTAAGATCATGTCGGCATTTAATTCTAAGTCCAAAGTACTTATCCTAGCAAAAGAGAGGCATTTATGACATTAAAATCGCCAGCCCAATCATCTAGTGAGCAATAAAAGGGTGCACTTGGGAGAAAAGGTGTACATAAAAGAGTTAAAACATGGTAAATTGATTGCTTCGAGTTTTGAGAATGAGAAGTAAAAACTTTGACGCAAATGGAATGAAAGGGGGGAGAGACGAGTTTTAAAAAAGGAAAAAGAGAAAGCAGTGAGAAATTGAAACTAAACATTGAAGAGTGTGTACCTGGTTCAAGGAGAGGATTCTAGTTTTAAGGAGGTGCGGATTCCAGAACAGAAGAGGAGGAAAAGCCAGTATTATGTATGGGATGCGAAAAACAGGGATTCCAATGTTGTGAAGAAAATCCAGTAAACGAGCGAAGTGATCGTTTACTGATAACTGAAGAAGACGAGGAAATGATTCGATCAAGTAATGGAAAGCGGAATCTCTGGAAGCCAAAATATTTAGACCACCACGTCTCGCTTCAACCTTTTCCAAAAAGGACAAAGTGTGTTGCAGATCTTCGTCAATGGAAATAGATAAGTGGCGCATCATGAGGCGAGTATTTTTAATGAATAAGCGAAAGTAATCACAATCATCAAGATCGGCAGAAAATAAGAGTTGCTTCATACGCGTAACCTTGTTTATCAGAGACGGGAGGGTGTCAGCAGAAAGATACCTGGCCACATTCATAGACGAAGAAAGACTCAAGCCCAAAGTCTCTAGGTACGCTACTTTCCCTTTCTCTCCTTTTTTAGTCGCAATATTAATAATCTTCTCCTTGAAGCTCAACCCTGCAATTTGCTCATCCCACTGCTCCAAATCCCTCACCCCTTCCACCAACATCTTCACATATGCGCGTGACTTTGACGCGATCCACACTGAATTCTCCTCCGACACCCCCAATTCTTCTAGATAACTTGAAACTGCCTTACCAGCCTCCTCCACTTCCCATTCCGAGATTGCCTCCCCCGAACCACAACGCCAATTTCGTCGTCGTCTTTTTCTTCTTCTTCTTCCATCTTCAATTGGAGGATGCTTCCATATCACGCATTTATTCACCTCCATCTTGTGTGCAAACGCAACTGGGACTGGAAGAAACCAATTTCTGTGAATTTGAACCAACATCTTCACATTACCGCTATTTCTTTTCTTTCTCTCTCTCAAATACTTATGCCATCACCCTCTCGACTGTCTACTCTCATGTCCTGAAGCCTTAAAACAATATAAATCTTAAACCCTACGAGACGGGAAACAATTATCCATCACAACTGCTAAGGAAACACTTCTTTTAAATATATTTTTATTAATTAAATTTTATAATAAATTTCAAAAATATAAGTAAAAATTATTAAATTAAAATACGAGATATAATTTTTTTTTTATTTTTCGATGAATCTTAACTTATATTAAAATAGATTAATATTTATTTTATTTTTTAAATCAATTCAAAATATATAATAAATATATTAGCTAAAAATTATCCATCCTCATATTGTTTATAAATAAATGAATAATAAATTCTTTAAATAATTTTTTATATTAAATATTTTTAATTTAAAATTTAATTACTATTTTAATATGTATTTAATGACATGCGATCAAAATTTGTATTTAATAATTTTTTATTAAAAATGTACAATAATATTAAATATTATAGTGTGTCTTTGTATATATATTAAAATTAAATTCTAATATATTATATTATATTTAAAAAATAAAAAATTTATAACTTCAATTGATCATAATTAAAATTTAATTTTTTAAATATAATATGTCATATTAATAAAAATAATATATTTTAATTTGAATAATTGCTTTTAATTTTAAAAGTTATATATCTTTGATATTATATAAAATATTTATAAAAATAAAATAACTCTATCCTTTAAAAATTTATTTAAATACACAATGTATCTTATAATTAATTTATTTACAAATTAATTTCTATTAAACTATTTTAATTCTTATAAAGCGTCGTTAAAAAGGATGTAACTGGATGAAAATAATTTTTATTAAATATATTATAATAACAAAAACATAACAAAACATTTGTTTAAAAATTAAAACTTAATTTTTTTACGTACAACAGTAAACTATGATATTAATCCTACTCAATTGAAAGGTTCATCAGAACAGTGTTTTAAAAAAAATTTATATTGACCTTTAAAATATACGTTCAGTCATATTAGTCTTTAAGACAGATAACCATTAATTGCACTAATAAAAGTGTAAAGTTAAATGGAGATATAAACTCGACTTGGAATGACACATTAAGTAAACATGCGTCTAAGTTAAACAGAACTAGGAACATTTCAGGTCCAAGTTCCTTTGAGAAAAGCGGTGGTAGATGCAGCTGCAGCATCTCCAAATATGTTGAGGAGATCAGAGCAGGATGGATCTTGTTCTCCTTCCGTCAGAAGGTCAAGACCCAACTCGTCTTCAATGTGGTCAGAGGCAGATATGAGCAAGAATTCGCACCCTTCATAGTTGAGAAAGTCAGGAGGATCGGCGGGGACGAACTTGACATGCCCCAGCAGACCTTGCAGGTGGGCAGGGAAGACAGCCTTGCGTTTGTTTTGAAGACCCCAGCCACCTCCTTTTTCCGGGTTCTTTATTTGAATTATGAATGACCCCTCGCGCTCAATGTTTAGTGATTCCTGGGGTTCCTTCTTTTCACCTTCAGCTGGAAATTCTAGCTTGTAGATCAAATGAGTGTGCCTTCTTTTCCTTTCCTCCCCCTTGTGTCTTATAATGCGGTATATGCCTTCTCCCACAGCTCTAGCACCACTAGTATGTCTGTGTCCTCTGGCTGAAGTTGAACTTGAACTTTCATACTCCTCTGCCACCAATGCCATATATCATTTATATTACTCCCATGTTATTGTAATTAATTAATGCAACCAAGAGCATCAGCTGAGCTACAATTCTTTCTAGGAGTCATGCAAAAATATTGACGTATGATTAATGTAAATCTCTAATCTTAATTAGGTATAAGCACTTCACCTCCTCTAAGGGCAGTCTTCACACGGTCTGCATTTGTTGTAACAATCGCCACAAAACCCCAATAAGGTTGGGTTTTCTCGCTCGGATCAGGGAGTCTTTTACGTCCCATTACCATTAACCGAAATAATGATTGCTCTTCAATATTTACTTCCTACACACACACGGTTCAAAATATATATTGTTATTAAGATTATACACTGCTTATTCATCATGTTCCTTTATTTTAAGATTAAAAATTAATCACCACAAGACATCAACCAAATTCAACCACCAGCCGGCTACCAATTTGTGTGCTTAATTTCTATTTTTACCAACGACTCCCGTACCTGGCTGCCATATCCCCCTTTCTTGGCACCTTGGTTCCCCTCATCCAGTTCTTGCTTCTCTTCTACCGCCCTCTCACCAGATTCAGGCTGCATGATAATGTAGAGACGCTGGACATCGTCAACACTGTGAGCTTCTTCCTTGCTAACTTTAGGCCGGTAGAAGAAAAATATCTCTCCTCTTTCCTGCATTAATTTCGCCGCAGCCAGAGGATTCATCCGTACACTTCAATCTTTATGATATAAGGTAATTACATTTGAAAAAAAGATGGAAAAGCAATACAAATTTTCAATACGTACTCCACAAGCGATAGACAAAAAAGAACCTGAATTTCAACTCCGGGTTCTGGTCGGGTCTTCTGCTCTTGGCCTTGTCCCATTGTTCCTCTTACAGAGATTGCATATCTTTCCTACAGATAGATTAAAAACAACGGAGGGAGGTTTCTTAGTTCTGCATCTTACATGGAAAGAAAGGAAAAATTATATTCATTCATCAATTTTATAGTAAAAAAGAAAAGATGAAAAGTAAAATGATTGATGATATAAAAAGTAATACAATTAAAAAATATATAAAAATAATAACAGGACACGTCGCTGAAACGAGAAACTTCTCCCTTGGGCGTAGGCTGTCTCCCAAAGCCATCTGTAGGAGCATATATTTATATTTATGCATATAATGCCACGTTGTTAGAGTACCAGTGCCCACTGCCGAGAGTTTCTATCTCTATAAGGTATAACAAGTTAAAAACTAATAAGAAAGCAACGATGCATCAAACTGAAATACTCAAACTGTAAAGCGATTTGACAAGTAAAAGAAAGGAACTTTAAAAAATATTGATGTTCACATTTTTATGATGCATCTTCGACCCCACACCTATTAAAATTTTAGGCTGTTGTGTTCATAACTTTTTTCTGGTGATCTTCTCATACTTCTATCAAAGTGGAAAGCCTCGTACTTATATTAGTTGATCCTCTCCCCCGCTGTAATTGTCTACTCTACATTTTCCATTATCTTACTAGGCCAGTACAAATTCTGCAGATAAGATTTATTTTTCACTTTGCATAATAATTAAGAGGTAATTAACTACATGTGTTGTTTAAAGTTTGAACATATTTCATGTGGCTGTTGCCGTTGTTTCTTTGCGATCGTGTTCTTCAGACTTGAGTACTTCACATTATATTCCATACAAGGTGATCCATTCCTTGTATTTAGAAAGGCATTTAATTGCTGAGCCCTACGCAATTTGCTCCATCTGTAGGTGCCTAGATGTGCTCTATGGGAGAAGACAATCTCTCAGCAAGGACCTATTTCAAAATTTTTCATAATATTTCTACAAAGAATTATAATAAAATTAAAAGTTTGAACTGGTTAGTGATGAACCACACAAGATACCTTATCATAAGCAAATTTGGGAATAACATCGAAATGCTTTAAACCATTCATTACCGAGTGACCATGCCTAGCTTAGGATTGCAAGAGAGTTAGCTTCTCCGTAAACGTGCATCCAACGAATTTCATCTAGAGCAGCAGCTACAATTTTTTGTTTCAGATTGATGACAGCCTTTCTGAATAAATTGGATTGCTAACAAGATTACAGAATGAACCAAGAGAAACCTTTATCTCTAAAGTTTAGCCTCGAAAATTGAGCAGCTACCCTGCAGAATGCAAATAAAAGCAACTAGAAAAGCTCCCCGATGGTCACGCATAACACCACCGCAGGCAGCAGTTAATCTTAATCCAGCGAATCATCATTCTGTCATACCCTTTCTCCTTCAACATAAAAGCTTTATTGCATTCTAACACGGCTCCAACTGTCGTATAAATTGAACAGTGACAGATCCGGTTTGGTGGCCCTATTTTCTATAGGCACTACAGCATGTGCCAGAGGAACACTTCTACCATTCTCTGCGGTAAAACGAAAACGTTGTATTCTTCAATTCCTTGTATGCTGTGTAACTTCAATTTGCATACCATACCTGACGGAGCCCAGGCGTTGGTTATTACATAGCAATGAAAACTGATGATGCTGCATTAAAAAAAAGAAAGAAAGAAAAACAGTACATATGACGGCAGAAGCAAAATTGTCGTATTTGTCGTCAGAGTATTGAAGTTGGACGATTTATATTCTCTAAGATATTTACATAATACAAAAATTCCGAATTATCACTTGCCCGCTCTATCTATGTTTATCACCCCACACATCCGAAAACCCAATGTTTTCATTTTGTATGCTGTACATCATCATATTCACAATGATGACTAATTTCATCGGAAAAACTTTTTCTAAGCCGGAAAAACTTGCTTTAGTTCAGATGCCCCCTGCACGAGTTTAAGATTTTCCTTCTGTGGGCGTGGATGGAGCTGATGAGCTTCCCGAATGTACAAGCCGCGGATCGCTCATCACATCCTGCAAAATGATCTCAACAAAATCATGGAATTGGAAGCCTAGCCTAGTAGCATCATAAATAAACACAAAAAATTATTATGATTTCAGAGAATTTAAAGAGACCTGTGGCACGGAAGATTGACTGTGGTTGGGGGAAGGTGCATTACATCCTAAAAAGATGGGTATCATCATCTTTTCTTCGGCAAACTCTCTCAACTTATCCAGCTCTGGAAGCACTACTTTCCCAAGGTCTGGCCTATCTTTTCGCCTGAGTTCCGCACACTTGACTGCTATGTTTGCAAGGCACAAGGCTTGTTCAAGAGGCCAATCAGTGACAGATGGGTCTAGCATTTCTGCAAACCTGCCCTTCTCTATAGACTCTTGACCACGGTGAGCCAATCCTATTGGAGGCCTGCCTGTCAATAATTGAAGAAAAATGATCCCCAGAGAATAAACATCCGACTTGACACCAAGCATTCCTGTTTGCTGATACTCAGGATCAATATAACAGAAAGTTCCAGCTGCTGATGTCATGCGGCATTGTGTTACATTTTCTGCTACAGCTGGGAGAAGCCTTGCCAATCCCACATCGCTAATCTTACTTACGTAGTTCTGGTCTAGCAAAATGTTTCCTGGTTTCAGATCAGGATGCACTAAAGGTTCAGGCTTGGTCTGATGCAGGAATAGTAAGCCCGTGGCTATCTCTGCAGCAATTCGGAACCTCAGCTGCCAAGACAGAACACTGCTCCTCTGCTTTCGAAACAGACAATCTTCTAAGCTTCCGTTAGCCATATATTCATAAATCAATATGCCATACTCTGGACATGCTCCTAGAAGAAGCACCATGTTTGGGTGTCGCATACAGCTCAGTATGTCAATCTGCACAGGGTAACAAATTTCACCCCCACAAGATCCATATTTAGCAATTGGCATACCGTACAATTAATTTCCAGGTAATCAGTACTCAGTATTCAGTTTTGCTTTCAATTTATGCTTTTAGGTTTATCCTTAATGTCCAATACTGCCCGTTTGTGTGCGTTTCTGGAAATAATAAATTTCATTAGATTTTTAATGGTCTCATTCAGTCTCATAAAAAGATAAGCCTGGACTAGCTAGAAGTGATGGAAAAATGTGATGCAATAAAATACAAAATGTAGTTTAGAATTACTCATGTCCACTGGTTGTTCACCTCTTGCTGAAACTGTGACTTCCCTTGAGCAGCATCTGGACGTAGAACCTTGACAGCAACCGGAGTGTGATCAAGGTAACATTTATAAACAGGGCCGTAACCTCCTTCCCCAATTTTATAAGATTCAGAAAAGAAGTTTGTGGCTACTTCAATCTCCTCAATACTGTATTTTCTGTATCTCACATCAGTTTGGGCTAGATTGTCCAATAACTTCCTCATTTCCTCTGCTTCTTTAAGAGCTTTAACTTCAACACTCGCTCTTCTATGTGATTCCACCTCTGCAATTTTCTTAGCTGCTTCAGCAGTTTCCATGGCAGCTCTACATCTTGCTTTCTCTTTCTCTGCAATTGCCAGCGCAGCTTCCTGAGCCAATCGTGTCTCTCCTAATTTTTTTTCTTCCTCAAGTCTCCAGTGGTTCAGCTCCATTAACTGTAGCAAACAAAAGAATAGTACCAGTTCAAATGGCAATAATATACTTTTAGAAAATGCACTACTTTTCATATTTACCTTCTGCTGTGCTGTAAGTGCTTCTCTGCATGCTGTACTGTACATTTCCATCGTTTGCTTTAACTCAAGCTTCAGCCTCCTCATATCAGCTTCTGCTTCATCCTAAATGTTTTAGCAAAAGGAAGTGGATACGTTTAATGGACACTTATCTTTGTTTCTACTTAGGCACAGAAACATGATTTCTTGAAGATATGGTCTGTACGTGCGTGAAAAAGTAGAATTTTAAGAAGCAAATAGCATAGCTGAGTGTGCCCTAGCTAGCCATTGGATGGAACCTCTTGTTAATTGATAGAAGACATTTATAGAAATGGAGAGATACATTCTGACATAGCTATCTAAGTATATTTCGTTTTGGCAGTCAATTGAAGACCCATATAAATATATTTATAAAAAAAATGTACTCACCATGTTCTGAGATGAATATGAAAACGATGTTCTACAGCTTTCCTGTGAGAAAGACATATCTGGTGAACTGGGATCTTTGAACTTGAGACCCAATCGGGTTGATCCAAAGCTACGATCGGAGCTGGTAGAAAGTCGGGAAGTTCGGCCCGAGTCAATGCAGTCATAAACCGAGGATGACCGCCCACTGCTTGGCCTCCCAGAGCTTATAAATGACATGTCTGTATCTGACTCTGCAAAGTCCACGCATAACATTCCACTCACGCCTCTTTCTGTTCCAAGTGGAGACCTGCTTCAAACAAGGAAAAGATGTTATTGTAGGTCATATGAAGGTCAGAAAGTAAAGTATCAATCCTGATAATCAAATTTGCATGAGTTGCAGCTTAGTTTACTCTGAATGGTTTTATATAAAGGACTTACTTCATAGATTCATCCTGCGAGCTGTGAGGTTTCATTGATGTCCTGTCTGCAGCATACGTGGGATCAAAACATGATAAAAAAAAAAGCAAGTATAGATCTCGAGCTAACTGTGATCACAGAAAAAAACCTCTCAAATTCATGCGTCTAGAGGATATGACAGGTTGATTTCCATCTTGGTTATTTAGATTATGAATGTGGTTCAGAAGTGGGGATGTATGCGGAGCTGGACGAGAAGCATTCCGAACTGTGGAGATTTTCCCCTTAGAAATGACATACACAGTACAAAAGTCTGGCGCCCCCTTTGATATGCTACTTGATGTACTTGATGACTTAAATCTGGACAAAGGAAGGCCATTATAAATTAAGAAAGGTGCTCAATCTGCAGTTTTGTGCTTAGCAAAGAAGACGGCATCCACCGGAGGATATTTTTCAGCAGACATAATGCCTTTTCCTGTCCGCTAATATCAAAATTACTCTCTTCTTAAAGATAGACTAAATAGTTATGATTACGAATGCAATCTTAATTGCAGAGGTTCTGGTTAACTTGGAGATAGTGGACCTTACCTAATAAATCCATGCCTTGATGTTGCACCAACCACCAAGTTCTCAATTGCATCATGAGAAACATATTCTGTTATTGCTTTCACAACATCGGTGTCTTCAAGTAGGACATCAAGGCATTGTATCTAATAAAATTTTTAACAGCAGTAAGCAATGTGAAAATAAAAAATAAAAAAATCTTGTTCGATGTTCTCTGCTAATCTGAGTAAAAAGGAGGACGGAATTTGACGATGGTGAGAAAGTATCATTATTGTATTTGCCGTCAAACGTACATCTTTTCGTGTACAATAGCAATGGAAGGTAAGAAACAGATCCTTGGTAGTGTTATCAAGTTGGTGTCTCTGCGGAGATGCAGATGAAGTGTTGATGTTACATACTATGGCCTCACTACCCCCTGTAGCATTTAAAAAAGATAAAAAGTTACATGCACCCTTTTGCCCTAGTTTCACTCAGAATCTGGGTATCGTAAGAGATGGAAATTGATTTTTATAATTACTAAATACAAGGACATACGGGAAACAGGTGAGGATGTCCCGCGCAAAACGTGGATTAGAATAATAGTTTGACCTCTGGTAAGAAGAGTATCGGCGGCCCATTTGAGAGCGTACTGGCTTCCTTTGTCCTTATCTATAGCAACTGCCACCAATCCATTTCCCCCTCCTCCTCCCCCCTTTCTAATCCCTGATGCTTTAGGATTTGGAAGCCACATTTCTCTCTCTGTCAGCCTCTGCACCTCTCATATCATCTCCATCATCCCCACATTCATTTTAAAATTACTCTTCATATTCATTCTTATTTTTCTGTGCAAGCATAATAACCATCCCATTAAGTATCACAATCGTTATACACAATACTTCTTAACCGAATGTCCAAAACGATTTATAGAAAACTATCCCTGATTTATGGGCAATCAATCAAATTTTTCTTTTCTTATCCTATCAGTTACAGAGGCAACACAAAAAAGGAAATCGGTACCACAATAAAAAATCAGTGCCAATAATAGACCACTTGTACTACCTTCCCTGAAGTAAAGAAAAATACTTGTTTAGAGTAGGATACCATTAACAAATATCTACTCGGAGTAACCATTTTTTAGTTGCAAGCATGCCAACATTTTAAAGGACTTTTTAAATGTATTTATGTTATGCATAACTAAATTGTTGAATTGGAGAGTTACAACGAATATGTAAATTGTTTTTTATAGTATCCATAAATTAATTTTATTTTTTCTAATATAATATTAGATGGCATCTATAAATTAATTCTAAGGCTCCTTTATTACAATGTCGCTTGATTTATTTTTTTTACCCAAGTTCTTCCACTACAATGCTACATGGCATTTTTTTTATTTATATTTTATTATTTTTTATTTATTTCATTAACACGCTGCTTGATCTTTGGCATTATAACCTTTTCAATTCATTTTTTACACTTATAAATTTAAAAATTGTTTTTAAGATTTTTAAGATAAAAAAGAAAAATACAACAATTTTAACAAAATAAAAAATTATTATTATAAGCATTAAATAGAAAAAAAATATTAATATAATGCACAGCATAAAGATATTGTTTATTTTGATATCATTTTATTTGATTAAATATTAAATTTCTTATAAATAAATATTTTTAATTAATTTTTTCACTACAATATTACTTTACACTTTTTCATATTTTAAAGTTTAATACTTTATTTGTATTTTATTATTATTTTAATATTCTAATCATTTTTAATGTTTTTCATTAAAGAACTATAAAAAATAAAAAATATACTAAATAATATATTTTGTAATTTTAAGATAATTTATATTAATTCATTCATTCAAAAAAATGTTAAGATAAATTATAAATTATTTTATAATATTATTATATTTAAAATTATTAATAATATAAAAATAAAAATGTTACTTATGTTATTAACCTTTACAATATATTGATACGAAATATAGTTAGTACTAGCTATGGTACCAATAAATTTGAAAAGGTATTTTATATCCTTTTCAGATTAACGATTGTGAATTTGTAATTTTTCTAATATATTAAAAATAAAAGAGTATTAATATCTTTTTTAACTAAACTATTAACTCACTCTGGAGATTTTACCTTCTTCTTACTACATGCTTGGGTGGTTAACGGAATGAATTGTAAATTAGTTAGTAGCATGTTTATAAAAATTATTAATAATATATTTACTTTTTTATAAATATTTTTATAATTAGATAAAATTTATTAAAATTTAAAAAATATTAATTTTAAAAAATATAATTTTTGTAAAGTTTAATTAAGAATAAAAATTGTATTAAAAGAATGTATTGCTAATATATTTTAGTAGTTGAAATCAATTTTGAGAAAATTTTATAGTGATTATATATCATATAAAAGGAAGTATATAATATAATATTAATGTCCATGTGTTTTATTGAATTTTTTGAAAGAATATATTAATTTTGTGGTAAAATACTTATTATTAAATATTTTATGAATAGAGAAAAAGAATGTGAACTGTTTTTTAAGAGTAAGTAAATATATTTTATTTTTTTATTAATTATATAATTAGTGTAAGTTGAAGAAAAATATGACATGCACATAATTTTAAAAAAATAAAAAATATTTATCGTTGTTGCATTTCAACAAATTTATTGTATAAAAATAAAATATCATTTTTATATATTTAATTATATTTTTTTATTTTTAATTTAGATTACTTATGATTTTTATTTTTTAAAAAAATGGAGCTATTAAGTATGAATCTTTTCTGATTTAAAATTATGTAAATTTAGAGTATGTTTGTTATTTTTAAAAAGTAGTTTTTTATTTTTAAAAATAAAATATAATATAAATTTATGCTATATTTTATTTTTAAAAATAAAAAAATTTTTAAAATAGAAAACAAACATGTTCTTAATCTCTAATTGATATATTTATTTAAACTTTAAATTCTTTATTTTTTTATTCAAATTTGTAAAGAGAATAAAAAGAAATTTAAAACATAAACTAATTTTAAAAGTTAAAAAAAAAGAAGAATAAGTGATAAAAATGTAATATATAATTTAGGCTATTTTATAAAAAATGTAATATATAATTCCCTAGATACAAAATATAGTTTATCTCTACTCCTTTAATTTAACTTGTTTTTGAATAATTTGCTAAAGAGGTTGGGTTAGTTTGATTGCAATCAAATGATTTTGAAAGTAATATTTTGGGAAAAAAAAAACAATGATATGTTAATTTAAAAATTGTAAGTTATTAAATTATTTAATAAATTAATAATTTAATATTCAAATTTGAGGTAATGATACACGAGTTGTAACACCTTATTCTAAAAAATTTGTATAATTTATAAATTATATTTTGATCAATTAAAATGATATATCTTTTTTTCATAATTCTATGAATTTATATAGCAACTTACTTAGAATTTTAATAATTTGTAATATTGATATAACAACTTTAATGGAAATTGAAAAGAGTAAATAAATGTCATAATTATAATGTAAAAGTTTTCATGAGAAATCTGTAGATACAGTACATATTTCAACTTAAAATATTACAAACTGTTTGTCAAAAAGAATGAAATTTACAATAATATTTACATAACTATAATGTTTATAATCCATAAAAATATATAAGTCTCAGAGCAGTCTTCCTCAAAACTAACTTTTGAAGATTAGTTTTATTCATTTACTCTGTGTCAGTTTTCTATCTCAGCTAAGTCTTCTGAATCTAGATCCTTGTCTGATCCCAGGTAGAGATCGTCTGAATCAGCTCGACGGTCTTCTAAGAGTCATGATTGTGGTAGGTGAATAGATATGTGAGGGTTGTTGGACTTCTAACAGTACCATTATACATATATACACATAAAGTCTGGTGTATCCTATTCCTAACGAAGTTAAAAGGAATACTACAAGAGAAATCTATTTCTATCATAATAAAAACCCTAGGTTCATCTTCTACAAGTACAACAAATTTAAAATAATTTACCTTCTGATACTCATTAAATACATAATTTAATTTAAAATGTACAAAACTATCAATTAATCTAACTCTTCCTTAATGCTCCGTCGTCCTGGGTTCCTAAAAGTTTTAGTAAGGATGAACATCTATTCTATCCCTTTATAAATGTTCAGCATAAAAATCATAATTCATACATCAATACAACACATTCAATTTCATGAATTCATATTCACAAACACATTTAAATTACAAATAACAATCAACATTTTATTATCTATTTTTCCTTTCTCTTATTCCAACACGCATTTCCAGTGCACTGTGATCACAGATACCGATACCTCCAGTGCTTCTCAAGGTCTTACTCAACTAGATAAATAGTCGACGGTTAGCCTATGCACATGGATACAACATGTACAATAATCAGGCCCCTTAGCAAAGGTATAATCAAGAGTCTAATCAGAAAACGAGTGTGAGGCCATGTGACGTATTCGTTTTCAGAAAGAGTATGTACATATACGCGAATGTTGATCACCACTCTACGTTTCCCCAAGATTCTCATTGTCTCTAGACTCTATACTCCAGTGCATCTCTATAACTATTCACACTAGATTTAATCCATATTCGATTCTTAGAGTCATTCTCATAATTATTCTTTCTTTCCACTCATAAGATCATGCTTAGTAAAGCACTTCTAGACTAATTTTATTCCAGTCCATTTTATATTAATATCATTCTAATATACCATTCTACTCAGATATATATTTCATAAAATCTTATGATAATCATTCAACAAATTTAATCATCTTTCACATTAAGTACTCATCATGTAATACATATACACATATATCAACCACTCAACCCAAGCAACCGAATAGTTCAAATAATTAAACAAACATCTTTTCAACTATACTCAACACAACATATATCATACTCATCTATTCACATACTAAATTCATATAACAGTGTTCTATGAGCTCAACATAAATACTATAATAAAAAGATAAAATAGAGCTCTCCTTACCTTAAAGATGAGCTCACAAAGATATATTGAAAATGGTTGAGGAGTCAACTATGGAAGTTCTCCTAAACACCAAAAGACATCCATAAGAAACAAAAATAGGAAAAATGATCAGAAAAACTCAAGTTTAATCCGAAGAAACTTATTTAGAATCACTTAGCTTTATCGTCCGAGCGTGATTGTAAAGAGATATCAGAGTTTTTGAAGCTTTTTATCTGAGTGAAAGGAAGAGAGAGTTCAAAGAACTTGAGAGAAGGATGTGAGTTTGAAATAGAACGAATTTTTCATGTGAAAAATCTCTTAAATACCCTTCAGTCCCGCGCGTTTTCGCTTAAGCGAGGTACAACTCGCTTGAGCGATGACATCTGGCCTGAGTGAGATATGCAGACAGTGATCTCGCTCACTATTTTCTGACATGCTCGCTTAAGTGAGCTAAATCTCACTTGAGCGAAATGGTGTCCAAAGAGCACTTAATTTCTCCTATGGGTCCTCGCCTGAGTAAAATTCTCAGCTCATCTGAGCAAGATCACTCTCGCCTGGGCGAGGTGACAGTTGGGCAACATTTATCTCATTTTGCTTGAGCAAGAATTATCTTGCTTGAGTTAGATAGCTCTGCAGCAAGATATTTTTGCACGCTCAATCTCACTTAAGCAAGATTCACCTTGCCTGAATGACATCTCCTGCACTAAAACTCTTATAAAATCCTTCAAACTTACATTTAATTGCATTCTAATACTACTTAATATTAAATAACATATAATTACCAAAAAATAAAAAGAGGGTGTTACACGAGTAATATTTAAAATTGTATTTTATGAATATGTTTTGTTTTAATTCTTTTATCAAAACTAAAATTTTAAAGATTTTTTTATCGCATTCATCATATAATATAATAGTATTAATATTTTACGTTAACAAATTGTTTCATCTCTTAGAGTCTCAAACTTGAATGAGAGTCGACACAAAGGGTAATTTATAAACATTTACATATTATATATTTATTTTTCATCAAAGATATTAATAAATAATTTAGTCTGATATTTGATTGTGTTTAAAACTATGAACAAACGATCTTAGAAGTTTAAGCTGTCAAATATACGATATTTTGCCATAAATTAATAATTTTTCGAAGTTAAATTAATAAATAAAAAGATAGGAAGTATAAATATTGTGGGCGGGAAGCGTAGAGAAAGGGAAAAGAAGATAATATGGTAATTTAGAAAGAGAGGAAAAAGATAATGGTAATTTATGGCCCAAGTTCATCGCTGTACTGTGGATGGTGGAGGCCTTTCCTTCAGGTTGAGGCAGAGGGCAATTGGCACAGTAATAATAGGTGCAGCAGCAATTGTTCCAACAAGAACAATATGCGTAGTAGGAAAAGAAGCATCGCTTGCAAATTGGACCTCAGTAGAGCATGCCGCAGCTACAGTCTGGCTCTAGCACTTACTACCTTTCTCTCAGTTACTGCGGTAATAGCTTCTGTGGCAACAGCAGATGCAACTCCTGAACCGGAGACTCTATCTAACATACCCCAAACATTGTCCGGTGAGTGCCCGTTGCCCAAAGACTGCAAGAAACCTAAAATACAGAAACCCAAGTCAAGGAAAGCCGAAACCTGCACAATCAAGTGTGTCACTACTTGCATCCGAGGCGGTCAAGGCTCTCCTGGCGAAGGCCCCCTTAATGTCATAAGGTACCATACCTTTTAAAATTCCTAAATCTTATAGCTTCATATTTTAAACAATAATTCTTGTTACTCTAGATTACTTAAATTCCCTTCATTTGTTCAGACCTCTCGTTGTTTTCAAGCAAGGGTTCCGTACTCGTCAATACTGGTAAATCACTTCAACTGTTTGCTATGTACTTTATCAATACGTGTCAAAATTGTGTGTTACGTGCTAATTTTATGTGATCGTTTCGTTGCTACCACATAACATATCAGGAGATGCTGGGTGCCTTTTCTTTTCTTTCTTTTTTATAAAGATACAAGGGCACTTGCCTCTTGTACCAACTGAAAATTCAACCAGAAGCTTGTGGTTCAGTTTGGTTTGACTGAAATGTAGTATGAAATTTGAACTAAATTAAGTTTTTTTCTTCTTCTTTAAAAGATATCACTACTGCATTACTTATACAGACTATTCTTATATTTGATTAATTACTTTCTTACATAGTCCAAACAGAAGAAAACCTTTACAAGAAATTAAAACATATTTTCATATTTTATTGCAAAGTGATGACATAACCTCTAGATTGGTTTAATACATATTATACCTGTATATTTAAATGACAATTGTTTATTTATTTATGAGTTTCATATTTGAAAATAATGACCCATTGCAACATATGTTATACATATACATTCATGATAAAAAAAAAATTTCAATTCATTTATATACCTTGTTCAAGAAAATATATAAGAATAGACAAGAATATTTTGGTTTAGTTTGTTTTTATATATAATCAGCTCCAGTGCAAACCACAAGTACTAAATTAAGTATCTAAATGTTATGCAAAGTAGATATTTATATTTCTATTTTATTGACTAATTGATTTATCCATAGATTTAGATAAGCTAATTTATATTACTCATGTCTATGGTTTAAAACTCAATTTTCCGTGTTTAGTTCAGTTAGATTTTTTTCAAATAACTAATTGTTATCAACAACAATATGGGTTACGAACTCTAAATCGATAAAGCACAATAAACACCACCAATTTTTCCATATCTAAATATCCATTCCTAAACAAAAGTTTTAGCTATTCATAACAATAAAGAAAGCTCTTCCCACTATCTACGATTTTTAATTGACTTTACTTTGAAGAACTGTTCTTCCTTTGATTTGGTGTTTGAGTGGGTAAAAAGTGTGGCAAATTTAACCCCCCATCTTCCTTTATATAAAGTGTGCCACTAGTGTAATAAAATTCTGATCCTATATATATAACTTTTTCTTGATTCTTTTGAACATTTTTTTTTAACTTTTGGAATTTTCATACCAGTTTTTGAAATTATTTTTAATCTTTCTAAAATCTAATTTATCCTGTATCATTTTTTAAAAAAGTAAGTATTACTATTTTGAATAAATTTTTTAAAAATATTTATATGAATATAACTTATGTTTATGACGTTAATGAATAAAATTAAACACTAATATCCCAAAATAATATCATATATAATGCTCAAATAACTCTTATTTACGAGAGTTATGTGTGTGCAAACCCATTTCAAATACAAGTTCAGCCATCGATAACTCAAATGTCCCCTTGTAAAACTACCTGCCTACTATAAGGGCTTTTACCACCATTAACATAAAATTAATACTACCACCGTAAGAAAACCAAGAACTCTATTTCCTTTACTGCTTATATTAGGCAATAGCAATTAATGTCAAGTAGTTAAGTTATAGTAGTTAATGTCACTTTTTTGTGAATAAAATGATTTGTAAGCTGAGCAAGTAGAAAGATATAGCATTTTACCGGTCACTTCTTCAGCTAATGCTTACTTGTCCTTGACTTGTACAGTTTGGTGGAATGTTCAGATATCTGTAATTTGATAAGCGATGCTGACAATGGACGTTAAATTTTTATCTTTTCTAGTATTAATTAATAATTGATGTTTATAAAATGTTGATCTATTATCCGGATTTTTTTTTATCATATAATGTGTATATTTTTTAGAATTAATAATACTAATCATAATAATGTGTACTATATTCATGTTACTGTGGGGAAAAAAACTTAAGGAGAGGTGGATGAATCCCTTTGTGTTCATATTATAGAAGTTATTGCATTGATTTCATGGCAGAGTTAGCTTGTCAACAATAAGCTGTGTGTTTAGTTTGGGGGTAATGAGAAAGTAAAATTTTGGGGGAAGAATGTTAAAGAAAGTGAGCATATTTTTAAAGACTTCTTCATATTTGACGTTAAGGTTATATGGGTACTCAATTAAAGTAGTTTCAGATCAAAGTAGTATCAATAGAACCATATTCAATGATATTTGAGAGAGTAGCATGAGAAGTATTTTATCTTTTGCAACTTGTTCTTCTACATTCAAAAGAAGATCTCCCCTAACATGGTTACGTGGTCCCCAAAGCTTCCTCACATGGTCTAATAAAATATTATCCCTTGGATATATTTAATAAAAGATTGAATGATCTTGATAAATATTTGATACTTCTTCTAAGAGTAAGATTAAAAAATTATAAATATTACATAATAGTTCTCATATAAATATTTCAAATTATCTAAATCTTACATTATTGTTGGGATTATTATTAATCTGACCAAATTTAACTAAAAAATAAATAAATCTATTCTCAACTCTGGGGGGGTTGGGAAAGGTGCACCACTTAAGCTGGTGGCTGAGAATGATGATCATACGGTTGTTGGCGCAATACTGACTGGTGACCCGACTTAAGGTTAGGGGATGGTGGTGATGCGGGAACCTTATCGGTGGCAGTGGGCAAAGGGTTGTTGGCGTTTTCTTTGAGCAGTGGTGTTGTGGTGGTATCCAATGAGTCAATGACGGCCTACGAAAGGGTCAGAGACGATGGTCAATGGTGTTGGCTATGAGAGACGATGATGATGCTTTCAACGATGCCATTTTGATTCACTTGAATCTTGAAACGATAAAAATGATGGAAGTCTATGGAGTTTTTATTTTTACCTTGAATTACTTGAATCTTGAACTTCGTACTTAAGGGATTATTTGATTTAGAAAATTATGTTAGCTGTTGCTAATTGGTAAAATCAAAATTCACACAACAAATTAAAATATACATGACAAAATTATTTCCACAACTGCTTTTATATATAATATAGATTTAAGTAATTACTCTAATAATGAAAATGTGTACTTGGATTCATTAAACTTTATTGATTATTTTTAAGTGTTGAATTTATAATATTTAATTTAAATATATTTTTTATATTTACTTTTTGAATAAAATGATTTTATGAATCAAATATTAATTTAAATTTTCTTTATATTATGTTAAAATGATACTTTTTTGGTATTTAATACTTTATTTACTAATTATTTGTATGAATATAAGATCATATTATGAATCAACCCTTTTATGAAGGTAAGTAAATATGATTTACGTTATTAATTCTTTTTATATGTATTAAATGACGATCATAATATAAACAAAATATATGATGTATACAAATAAGTTTTATAAATTATACTTTTAATATTTTAATTTTTTATAACTAAGCTACAAATTTGAAAATTTAAAGATTCACTTAATATTAATTTGATTTTCTAAATAATTTTTATACTAAGTCCTTCGGTGATTTCACATATACAACACAATTTATATTTACAGGCTTTTTAGTATATTTTTAAACAATTTAAGGTGCAATGGTATTGGGGTTGTATTAAAATACAGTCTATTCTAATAATGGAAAATGTAATTCCCGTCTATGGCAAAGGACACGGTTTCACATCTTAAATTACATACTAAAAGAAAGAAGGAAGAAAATTAGAGGACCTCCTTAGACCTCTCGCGCAAACAACTCAACTTCTGAAAACACCCAAAATTAAGTTGTCACGGTATGCAAAAAGTTAGCGCATTCTTAGTTTATTCCTTTCATTTCTTGTCAAACTTTTCTTGCTAGGCTCTTTCCTGGCCTTAACAGCTCCATCACCATTGGCCTTTGGCCATTAATGATCAAAGATGGTGCTTTATAATAACAATGATGATGACCATAATAATAATAAGAATGAAGAGAAAAAAATGACATGCAGCTGAATCCTATCAATACCTTTCTAGGAATTTTTAACATCATTATCATATATCCTGTGGGTTTTGGTCTTTTCTTCCCGTCATTATCGTTGTCATTGTTGATTGTCAATGCTAATGGGCGCGCGCTCTGCTTCGCTTGTGCGCGCACCTGCAGCAACATCTAATAATGTCCAGTGCAACGTTGTTTTAGTATTGGTATCAATATTATTATCATGTTTGTGTACAAAAGTGATGTCCTTCTCCTCTTCAGATGCTGAGGCGTTATTAAAATTTAGGAATTCTTTAACGAATGTTGTGGCCCTTAGCAGTTGGGATCCATCCATAAACCCAAAACCGCCTTGTTATGGTGACATTCCCAATTGGGTGGGCTTGGTTTGTAAGAATGATAGGGTTTGGGGCTTGCGTCTCGAGAGAATGGGACTAGGCGGCATCCTCAACATGGAATTTCTCAGTTCAATGCCGGCTCTGCGGACGCTTAGCCTGATGAACAATACCTTTGTGGGTCCCTTGCCCAACGTCAAGATGTTGACAAATTTGAGGTCCCTTTACTTGTCCTATAATCATTTCTCAGGACAAATACCTGACAATGTTTTTGCGGGTTTGCATAAACTGAGGAAAGTGTATTTGGCCAATAACGAGTTCACAGGTAAAATTCCTTCCTCCCTTGCTACTTTGCCTAGTCTCCTCATCCTCAGGCTCGACTCAAACAAGTTTGAAGGCCAAATCCCCCAGTTTCAACACAATAATTTGACGATTATTAACCTCTCCAACAATGACTTGGAGGGTCCCATCCCGATCAATCTACGCAACTTTGACGCCGCCTCCTTTAGTGGTACGTACGAATCTTCTTCTTCTTCTTCTTATTATTATTATAACATACGCATATATGCAATATGATCAAATAATATCATATATTAAATTTAATAAATGATATATTCAATAATTTTTTATTAAAAGTAATTTTTCTTAATTTAAACATAAAATCCTCACAAAATAGAATGGAATTGGATTGTGATGAATTCATTACTCAATATATTGGCTTGAGCATGTAGGCAACCAGGGTCTTTGTGGGCCACCTCTGACGAATAAGTGCCAAGAGGCAAGCGCGGAGACTACTGGGAAAATGCGCGTTCTGAAAATATTACTTGCTGTGATCGTGATAGCATTGATAGTAGCCATCCTGATTGCAGCGTTAGTGATATGTCGCTTGAGGTCACAGTCACATAAGCACCCTGCAACTGATGAGGCCTCAATGTTCCAGGGGCAGGCCTCCAACAAATACGTTCCTCCCGTTTATGTAAAAACCAAAAGCCTAGCGGATCACTATGATGCTAGTCCTAAGAAGGTGTCGGGTAACATACATGGACATGGACATGGACATTCTAAGAGGGGGGAACAAGGCAGCAAACTGACATTCCTCCGGCATGACGGACTTAAGTTTGATTTGCAAGATTTGCTGAAGGCCTCCGCAGAAATTTTAGGCAGTGCCTCATTTGGGTCTTCCTACAAGGCTGTGGTTTTGGATGGTCAAGCCGTGGTTGTCAAGAGGTACAAGCAAATGAACAACGTGCCAAGAGAGGAGTTCCATGAGCATATGAGAAGACTAGGCAACCTCAACCATCCCAATCTTCTCCCTCTCCTCGCCTATTATTATAGAAAAGAAGAGAAGCTCTTACTTTCAGCCTTTGTTCATAATGGTTGCTTAGCCAGCCATCTTCACGGTAATTAATTAGTTCAGTGCCTATGTATGTGTATATGTAATTAATCATTATATATGTGGTTAATAAATAAATTTGTTGCAGGTAACCATAACTATCAAAAGCCAGGGCTTGATTGGCCAACTCGCTTGAAAATTGTCAAAGGTGTAGCCAAGGGTTTGGCTTACCTATACAACGCACTCCCAAGTTTGACTGTGCCTCATGGTCATCTCAAATCTTCCAATGTGCTTTTGGATGAATCTTTTGAGCCCCTACTCACTGATTATGCCCTCAGTCCTGTGATCAACCTTGACCATGCCCAACAAATCATCATGCCTTACAAATCTCCGGAGTATGCTCAACTTGGCCGCATTACAAAGAAGACTGATGTGTGGAGTTTCGGGATTCTTATATTGGAGATCTTGACTGGAAAATTCCCCGAGAACTATCTTACACACAGGCATAATAGTGATTCTGACATAGCCAATTGGGTAAATACCATGATTACTGAGAAGCGCACTAGTGATGTGTTTGATATAGAGATGGGAGGAATTGGAAATAGTAAAGCTGAATTGCTCAAACTCCTAAAGATTGGCTTGAGTTGTTGTGAGGAGAATGTGGAAAGAAGGTTGGATATCAAGGAAGCTCTTGAGCAGATTGAAGACTTGAAGGAGGGTGAAAATGATCATGGAGAATACTCTTCCACCCTCATCACCACCGAAAGGGATGCTTACAGAGCTGTATGAATTGTCGCTCACATTTTTTCTTCATCATAGCTGTTTCACTGGGACTTTATTTGGAAGCTATCAAATTGTACGCGTGGAAGCTGGCTTTCCCCATGAAGATGAATATATGCTATTAATTAAACTTGAATTCTTTTAATTTAGTTTTTGTGTCTATTTGTTTTCTTGTTAATCACATATCATAGGTATTTACAGTGATTTCTCTAACTGAACCATTTTGGACTGTTAACTTTGTCTACATAGAACTAGTTAGGTTTAGGGAATTTCTCTCTTAATTTCACAATTTATGTAAGAAATAGTCTCACATTTTTAATTAATAGTACTAGTTACTCGATTTCATGTTATACGGTTGTCCGAGTTTATATAATAAATTTTTATTTTTATATTATTAATTATTTAAAATGTGTTAATAATAATATTAAATAAATATTTTATTTATGTTATATTTTATTTCAATGAATGAATTATTATAAATTACTTAAAAATAGAATGAAAAATATTTATTTAGTATTTTAAAAAATTATTCAATATCAATTTTCATATAAAAAAGTTCATGATATCAAATAAGCCCCTACACTAAAATGGTCCATACATTTAATTATATCAAAATACAAATTATTTTTGTATCTTTAAAAGTTTTAGGAATTTAATATCACAAATATTCAAAATACTAAATTAATGCTATGCATAAATCTTTCAAGAACTAAAAAAGTTATCATATTTGGTTAGTAAACTTATTTGCACCTATCATATTTTTTTTCTATATATTATAGTAATCATTTAATATATTCTATTGATTAATAACGGCTTTATTTGGGTAAAATGTTTTTTTTGAAATTTTTATAAAAAAATAGAATAAAAAGTATTTTTTTCATAAGTTAAAAATAACTTATACTCTTTTATTATTTTAAAAGTTATCAGAAATTCTCTTATTTAATTTCTCTAAGATTTGAAAAGATAAATTATTTTTAATTTATCAAAAAAAATTTATTCATTTTTATACTAATTTTGCTTTTTTATAAAAACTTCTTGACAAATCCACTAAAACAACTCAAAATAAATTACCCTAAACATTATCAAACAAAATAACTAATTGTGCTAAGATTTTATATTGATGTCCAATATAAAATCAAATGAAATTTTAATAATTTTAGTCTCATACAAAATAAATTAAAAATTTTAAAGATAAATATTTTTTTATTTTATTTACTTTTACAAAAATTACGTGTCTAATTTTTTTACTCTTAAATTAATATTTATTTCTATTTTTTTTTAATTTTCAATAACTTTTAACCAATAGCTAGAATTATGTTAGAGAGTGTATTGCTAGCATTCTTCTTAACTAAATGTCTTACTCTTATTCATTCTTAAATTAATATTTTTTTTCTCATATTCTTTAGTTTTAAATAAATTTTAGCCAACTTATTCAAAGTAAACATTTCTTGAATATATATATATATATATATATATATATATATAATTTTAATTTGATATCATTTTGCAGTACAAACTATCACATATAAAATACTTGAAAAAATCCATAATTTCAAGAGTAAAAAAAATAAAATTGTAAATGATAGAATTATAAAGAGAATTACATTGAAAATTAGAAACAAAAATTAATAAGGCAATTCAAACACTAGTCAACATTTATAATTAAGTTCTAAAAATCAATAGTTGAACTCAAGTTGAACAAAATACAATTGAGGAAATTAAAGAAGTAATTGCGTTAGATATTAATATGCAAAACAAATAAAAATAGTTATATTAAAAAATGCATGAAAGAAATTTTAAAACTAGTTATATTAATAATTGCGTTAAATTATATAATTATAAGACTTGTGTTAAAGTTTTTAATTAAATTAATTAGACGTTAGAAATTATATTTAAAATTAGATTAAATTTTTTAAAAAAACTTGCAAAATAAAATGAACAAGTTGAAAATCAAATGACTAAATATCCATTTTATACTTTCAATTCGTAAGCACAGATGATTTTAATCCTTGATTTTATAAAAATCTTACTTTAATTATGACTTTACAAAACAATATTCATTTTATTCCTTTTTATATAAAACAATGAAAGAATAATAATAAATGATTAAAATGGTGATTTTTAAAGTTTTAAGGATAAATTAAATTTTTATAATGTTAATAACTAAATTGATTGATGTTTATAATTTTAAGAACTAAATGAGTATTAAAAATCAAATAAAAAATGATTTAAAAATTAAACAAAAAATGACTAAAATTATGAACTGATTAGATGAACATGAATCTTGTTATCTATGACAAGTTACGTCCAAATTTTACATCTATTATTTATTTTTTATATAAAAAGCAAGAAAACACTTTTTTTTTTTGTCGAGGAGAAACACAGTTTAGCATGACCTTTTTACACGATGGAATAACAAGAAAATATCCTCCCCGCCTACACGTAGCAATCGTGATGTGAGGAGAGAACATGTTACGCAAACACAATCCCACGCTAATCCCCCCTGTAAATAACAAGGACACCTATGTGTAATAGTATGTGTAGATCATTCAAGAATAGTTCTCTAAAAATGCCTCAGTCAAACTCACATTTTGAACAAAATAAAATTAATTTAAAATCAAAATAGTAAATAATCCAGGAACATAAAATTGATAACCTCGCAAGAGACAACAGATACTACCACGAATTTCTGTAACTACAAATTATTTCTTTCATCTTTAAATAAAAAGATGCTACAAGAAAAGTCCATCGGAAAGGAGGACCAAATGCGTATTGATACCTCCCTCCCCACACTCGAAGTAAGATATATTATAAACAATTTAGGACTATAATACATTTGTCACACAATTAACATTAGACATGATGGGAGAAGCCGACAAAATCAAAAGAATCATCAAATCGACCCGCGTACAGACTCACCACCGATATATCAAGCTGGACCCGGTTAGTCCTTTGTGTATCATTAATTGGTGGAACTCAGATCCTTATGGGGACAATCATGCCATGGAGATAGACAAGCAAATCTCCATGAATGACAGAATGCCTTCCAATCAAATAAACCATCCATACACAGCTTTTCATTGCATGGTTTCCGGCACTGTCTAAGTGGAGCATGGGCAATGCCAATGTCTTTGTCAGGAGCATTTTTCCAAAATATCCCATTTCTTCACGCCCAAAATGCTCATCCAGCATTGTTGGCAACTTCTGCAGCTCTCTGTCTCATCATCTCCATTACAGCAGCTCTTCGCCGTGAATCAGACTGTTGTTGCAACCTCCTCAAGTGTTCTTTTAAATCTCTGATTTATCGCAGAAAGAAAAAGTTATACATGCAAAATACATAAACAGAGTAACTCGAGTAATGGTAATGCCTGACCCACAAACCTGCATCGTGGCACATGGCACTCAGATTCCTTGCAAGCACGAGCATGAAGTTGAAGCAAATACCACATTTTCTTGCAAAGAACACAACCCCCAGAAACACGTGTTTTGCAATGCATCCCATGACGGAAAAGCCCCTTCACTTTGCGACAATTTGGATATTGGCAATGGGCAGATCGACATTGGGATGCATGCACAAGAAGATCAAGCATTTTTCGTAGCTGTAAATTATGAAATCCATTTACATATCAGACCTTGTATAGAAAGTTGCAATATCACAACTACGCATGGTAATAAAATGATATAGCTATTCAAAATCGTGATGTAATAATAAAGATTCAATAGTAAGCTATTGAAGTACCATCCATTGTAATAACACAACCCCCTCTCCCCCTCCCAAAAAGAAAAAAAAAATTGCCAGTTCACTGAATCATTAAAAAGAGTTCAGTAAAGTTAACATTGGTTGCTGACTGCTCAGTGGATATACAGTCTTTGTGGCGACTGTTGTCATTGATAATAAGCAAATATACAAACACTCCAACAACACGTGTTCTCCATTATGTACAAAATTCAAGAAAATCCTCAACTCTCATGCAGAAATTCACATTATATAATTTAATGTTATACAAGTTAGAAAATATAAACAAAGACAGCTCTTCTTCACCCTCAAATTTCACTATATACAAATGAATCTATGATTTCTTTATTTGACATGCAACATAACCAAGTAAAATATAAGCACAGTCACTGAATGAGACATGTACAGGAGCAAATAAAATCTTATACAATACCTGTAATACTCGAAGTTGTCTTGCTTCTTTGTTCTGAGCATCACGATCTGCCATTGATGGATGATTTGTCAATTTATGAGGATGATCAGTGCCCCCATCCTTTAGATAACAAGCATTGCACACATCATATTCAGGGCAAACTTCACAACGCCAACCTTGACCAGTTTCTATGTCAAGACGGCAAATATTACATGTTGTAACAAATGCAGGAGCAGTTGGATTATGAAGATGATAGAGAATCATCATTGATGAATGCTTGGCCCGCCTTAGCGTATCGTACTGATAATGATTGCCCTGGCAGAGACTCAGAAATGCCTGCCTAGTGTCAAAGAATTCACTCTCAAGAATCTCGTCTTTGTCCTTTGTATCAGCAGGTACATCAGTAATTTCTACCTGAAAGAACACAAAGGTTACTGAAAGTTTCCAAATTCAATTTTTCTAATTGGTAGCTATCAAAAGAATATATAGCATCCAATTTTGTACTCTGTAATTTATCCGACACATTAGTTATACAGAAACCAAGGTGATTGACGGCCATGCTATGAAGCCCAAATACTCAATGTGACATGAGTATAGCAATAGTAGTCAATTTCAGATAGCGGCATGAAATGACTAACCCCAAAAGTGCTATAGCGAGATAATAGGATAACAGCTACACTAAAGTTTTATACCTAATGGAACCAAAAGCATGTCACACCAGAAAATTAACAGAAATAGAAATGGAGGAAATGTTAGGGCTCAAAGAGGGAGAAGAAGATATCAGAAATGTAAAAAGGGGGCAAAATCCTAAGATTGACCCTTTTAAAAGTTGGCCAACGTTCAGAAAGGGAGGGTAAAGTAGGGATTGACCTCAGAAATGAAATAGTGGCTGCAATGGCGACGATTGGCTCTGTTCTTGGTTGCGATTTGTGGCACGACGGCCAATTGTATATCCTAGAATTAGGTATATTTACAGCTATTTTTTATTCTGACAAGAATCCTCACAAGTTGTGGGATGGTATTTGACCATAGGTTCGTTCCCTTTCTTTTAGTCTCTTGTGTATCTAACCCCTGTTGCACTGTCAGAATTATGGAAATTCCAAATTTCTTTCACCTTTGAGATGGTACCAGAGCAGTCAATCTGGGACTGCCTCTGGTTCCAGTGAAAAAGTCTAAACAATTGGCCACTTGCCAAATGATTGTCATTTTTTTAACCTCTGAGATGGTACCAGAGCAGTTCCAATCTGGGACTGCCTCTGGTTTCAGTGAAACAGTCTAAATCAATTGGACACTGGCCAAATGATTGTCTTTTCTCTCCTAAGTCAATTGGCCTTCTTTGCTGATTCCTTTTGCCAGCCAGCTGTCTTTGCTTAGTTTTGTTGTCCAGAGTCATTTAGCTTTAATTGTCTTGTGGGTGTGTGCTCTATCACCCTCAATGTCAAAAGATGAACATAACATTCAGCCTAGCGAGATACAGAACATTTAGTCTGCATATAGGCCAAATGGAAAATATGATCGGAAGTGGTCTCAATTTATTTGAATAATACTGAAAGGAAAAGGGAAAACCCACAAGTACTGGACCTACGTCTGTAAATACCAAGTTTTAAGCATGGGTTCAAGATGACTCAATGATCTTGGAATGGTTATGGAATTCATTGGTCCCTGAAATCAGTGAAACATGTATGTTTTTTACTATCTATCACTAAGGATATTTGGGACACAATTGAGCAAACCTATTCCAAGGCTAAATTGCTAAAGTATACAAGGTTATGGTGAAAACACTGGCTGTGAAACGGGAATAAAACAGCTAGAGTATTGAAGTTATAAGGTATAGAAGGGGAATAAAGTTAATAGAGACAAAATACTATGAAATAGATATTATTGACTTCATATGAATATGATATAATTTGTTACAATGTGCTGATATGATATATTAGGAAATATTGAAACTAAGAAATTAATAAAAATAGTCTTATGAGATAATGATTAAATATTTAAATATACCCAAAATATTCGAGGAGGATCAGCAACTCACAAGACTCCAATTCTCACACAAATGACAATATTTTTCTTAACCTCCCTTGTTATTTATTTGTCAAAGTGCCTTATATTTTCAACCAAAGAAATTAACTAATTTTCTAGATAACTAACTAATGGATATCTATCATAAACCCTGATATATCTAAGGATGCATTTAATCAACTTTCTGATGTTGCAAACTTGAGGCATAAACTGGTAGACCTTATCAACAAGGTAGCCTATTTCAAGCCTAGTGAGAGTTACTTAGTGAAGCACACCCATAATAGAGCAATATAAATGAGGATCCTGCACATGGTCAAAACCATGTTTTGACAACTTGCATCTACCAACCGTGGGAGTGTTGAACCCATAGGCTTAACCAATGCAACTCTAATAGGGATTAGAATGTATTTAGCTTGAGAGAGAAGAGAACCATTGGGAAAATGCTTGACCTTAATTCCCCAAAAAAAAGGTCCAGGTGCCTAAGTTAGGGGATAGAAACAAGATGGGATAATTTTTCCTATCCTATCTTATTTTTGGTATGTGTTTAACAAATAGGATGTGACGAGTCTATCTTAAAAAAAAAAAACTTGAGGATACTCCCTGGATGTGAAGCTCGGTCTATCATATGTGTATTGGTATCGGATATGTGAATGACACTGATATCTTTGCAGTTTTTGGAGTGTCTAGGCTTGATAGCCATGGTTGTCAAAATCGGACTTCAACTCCTTGGAGCGCACAATTCAACATGTTGCAGGCCCCTCAAGGAGTCATGCATCACTATGACTCGCAAATCTACTTGGAGCGGATTGGATCATCTTCAGAGCTTTGAATTGGTGCACCAAATACATGCCAGGTTGAGCTCCACTCGTGGGTTGGATTGTGCTACCCCGTTTCACCTCAAAAGCCCTTTTTTAATATTTTGTGAACCCTAACTTGAACGACCCATCTAGAAATAAAGTCTTGACTCTGCCTCTATTTCCCCTCACATTCAACACTCTTTAAGTGTCTTCTGCCCATTTTGTTGCTGGTTTGGGGTTTCTAAGTTGCTGGTTTCTGTCTTTGGGTTGCTGCACTTGTGTTTTCTTCCTTCTCATTTTTTCTCTGGTTCTCTGCTGCGGTGCATGGCTGCTGTGTGCAATTTAGGGTTGCTGTTTTTGTCAAAGCAGCAAGTTTTTGGGTGTTTGCTACATTGCACCAACTGTGGGCTCTGTTTTGTGGTTAATAAAGCATCAAGTTTCTTTTATGCTGTAGTTTTATGTATTACTTTTGTTTAGTCAAAAATTTATGTTGAGACTTATGATGACTTTTAAGTGACATTAAGACTTAATGTATCATTAATTTTTTATTAAATGTGTTTTTTAATTTAAGGGTTATTTTTCTTCTTTATACTATTTTTTATGCATGTATATGTGTTACAAATATAATTTAGTATTTTAGTTGACTATTACAAGGTGTGTTAAGAACCACTGCTCCTATGATCCAACACTCCTCTTCCGTTCCAACCTTGAAACTCGATTTGACAACCTTGTTCATAGCTGCCAAGTGCTAACAAATTTTCACATAACAGTACAGCAGAAAAGGACAAGTGCTGAATCTATCACTCAATATGTCAATGTTAAATATGCCTTCTTACTCACAAGATAAAGGGTGTGTTTCTCTCTCGAGTTAATAGGATGCCGTTCTCTCTCTTCATGCTTTACTTCTGCTTCATAACACCTAAGAGAACATTAATATGATGTTATCAATATAATGAATATCTGTGAATATAGGAGGAAAAAGTAAGACAGTATGTGACAAGCAAGGTAGATTGGTAGAAGTCGTTGGCACTTGGCAGATGATATAAGAAAAGGAGAAAGATCATGAAAAGAATGCCAAAAATGAAAAGAATGTAATTCTGAGATGTATAATGCCAATAAATTTGTGTTATCGAGACAATATTATCAGCAGTCGCAATATTCTCAAAGATAGATACAAAATAATGATATACAAATTATAGAAGCCCTTTTTAAAAAGGACAAAACTCAGATGCAGTACCCATAGGTACTGTTCTCCTATCAGAGTTGAAGTTTCATTTGAATAATCTGCACAGTAAAGTTTGGCATTAGAGATAAATCAGCATTAAAGGCGAACATGCATTACTGAGGCAAAACTCCAACTCTAATAGGAGAATAGGACCAATAGTAAATATGATACTGTATCTAAATTTTATCCTTTTAAATCATTTTATTATGGATAGGTAGAAACAAGTCACCCTTTACCCTTATAATTCCACAACCGTTCCCTCAAAAGGTTGATGACTTTACAAAGGTGAAAGAACATGTGCTGACCCTAAATATTAGCAGGGTACAAATAAAAGTTTTCAAATGTAGACTATATAAATGACAAGCAAAACAGAGTAAAGAAAACGAAAACGAAAACTATATAAAAGTTTTCAAATACATATGCTTTTTTTGTTTGAATATAATTAAATAAGATATTCATATTAAAGGCTGTAAATATAGCAATAGTATGATAATATATTAAGAATTTCTAAAACTCAATTAAAATAATATAAATGCTAGCAACACACTCCTAGTTATTAGCCAAAATTTATTAAAAATCACAAAAATTATGTAGATCTCACCCTCAATTTAATGATTCACACTCATAATCTAATGATTCTCTCTCATACTCTTATAGTTTTTAATAAATTTTAGCAAATAACTAAGAGTGTATTAAAAAGAGTGTGTTCCTAGCACTCCCGAAAATAAATTGGATACAAAAGCAGCCTTAGAGTGAATATAGAATTCAATACAGCAATTCAAGATTCCTTTATCTCTTTTCTTGAAGGCATTGATAATAATAATATCAAAAGATAAAGTATGACAAAATATTTTTCACACATTTTAATTGACATGTTACATGACAAAACCAGATGATTGAAGAATCCTCACTTATCACAAATCTGAAAATTCTTGCACTGGCCGCATACCCAACGGTTGCCGGACACCATTAGAATACAACAATGAGTGCATGCATTCTGCAAATGAACCATGATAAAATCTTCCTTCATTGGGCAAATGGTTTCACCAAGCTGGAGAAAATTCCAAAGCTAATAAGAAAACTATTGTTTCCACATAAGGAAATCCCACATAAATATTAAACGCAAGAAAGGTGTAATTGTTTGAAGATCAAGTAACATAACATATGTAACATTTAAAAAATCATTAACAATGAACTTAATTTACCCTAGAAAACATGTTTAATAAATATCAAAACAAAAATTACTTTGTGCATTAGGAGACGATCTTTTGAGGCATTTCCAGAAAGATCTGACTGACCAGATGCTTTTAAAGCCCTTTTTGTTATAGTTTTCTTAGTTGTTCCTTTCTTATTTTGTTTCCTTCCATCTTCCTCTTGGTGAAGCTGATAAATCAAATCCTCTGCAGCCCCAGGCCAGTAGTCACCATCAAAATATGGGAGCCTTGCAGCTGTAACCTTAGCCCTACATTCACCAGAAGATACAAAGAAATGATCGTATAAGTTGGTGAGATCGACCACAATATTCTCCTTGGCAGCTTTTCTTAACATGGACAAGTACCTGAAGAAAAATGTTTACAAATTAAACTATAGTTAGAGATGAATAATCTAGCTTTTATACACATAAAACAAGGCAGCTTTTCTTTCTCTTTTTGTTTTATCCTGAAGCTTTTAACTCACCATTCCCTAAGCTTATCAGATTTTGGTGTTTTCTGAATTTCTGGATGACAATATAAAATATAATCTTCACCCTTTAATGGAGGACATGCCCATATGTAGCAGCTTGTAAAACCGCGTTTCTTGCAATACTCAAGGTATCCGATCTGAAAAAATACTCAAATGTAATATAGAATATAAATTACAGGAAGAAAATAAATCAGAACATGAATGTCTCCAAGATAGAGTTCCATGAGATGTATAATAGACCCTACACAAGAGCCAGAAAACAAGCAACTAAAGGTTACCAGAATTTCATGGTAAACAAATGTCCGAAGAGCCTCTCCAGTCACTGCTTTAACCTCAGGCCTAAAATATTTTACAGAGTCCAAATATGAAAGATAAACCCGACGTTGGTTAGGAAATTGGCATTCAGATCCAAATTCTTGAACATACATGCCAAAAAGGCATACTTCCACACCTTGAATCTTCTGAAACAACAAAATTACCTGGAATTGAAACCAAAGGTGATCAAAATTCACGATAAATAATAATGACTTAATTACCAACAGGACTAACAAATAAAGTAAGTTCCCATTACCTTTGATTTATATGGGAATTCTGTTGGGTAATTTTCTTCCTGAAAAATCTCCAAAAACCGCTGTTTAACTTCTAACTTCTTGTCAACAGATGACACAACTCTTATAACAAGGGCTTCAGCTCCAGGCACCTGCTAACATCAATTAAAAATGTTTTATATATAACCCGCATAAGCCCACACCAAAAATGGAATTAATTCTCTGCTGGAAATCAGCTTGGAGTTTAATCATCAACTTCAACACAAAATGCCAACAAGGGAAAATACACTCATACACAGAAAAATATATATAAGAAGGATATTTTGAATGATGAATTTATAAGTTCAATCATATTAGTGTATAGCTTGTACTGCTCTCTGTGTAATTATCCTTCTGATGTAAAAGTTAGTTTTCAGTTATGACAATTTTCTGTGGTAACTGCCTAGTTCCAACAAACTGTTAGCTCAGCCTTAGCAGACTGCTCACTTCTATAAATACTTCTGTATAAGGTGCTTTAAATTCAGATATGGTATCATGAGCTTTTAAATTCAGATCCATGGCTGAAGTTTGCACTCTGGGACTGCTCCTATCACATTTTCTCATCAGCTATCCATCAAATTGGATCAATCCAATTTCCTTCAATGGCAACAACAAGTAAGGTGTTATTCATAGTCACTGATCACATCATTTTGTAGTTAATCCATACATTCCTTCCAATTTTCTCTCTGAAATTGAACAATAAACTTCTAAAGCATACCACTCATATAACTAATATATGGATCTTTAAGATTATAATAAATAATTATTACTTTATTGTACTTAGTGACAACTTAAAAACTAGCTTGTCAGGAAAAAAAAAATAGTAGTGCTATACATGCTACATTTTTCAATGGGAGAAAATGCAAGCAGTGATATCAGCACCTCAAGTCAAGAAAATTCAGAATGTATTTGATTTAAGGGATTTTTCCCAAAACATTAGATTCTTAGGTTGTAACTAATAGATGATAATACTCACATCATTTCCCACCACAAACAAGGGAAAGTGTTTCATATAAATTTCCTGTACATCCATATAAACAATGGTAACTATCAAGTACAAACTCTCCCTAAAAGTTTATGCTGTTAGGAGAACATGAATGGTGCATACCCCTAACACAAGAGTCCATTGGGCTAGAAACATGGACAATACACAAGCCAACCCTACCTTGTGTTGTAAGTTCAACATGTCATTATTCAAAAACAGGTCACATGGATCCAGCTGTAGCCAATTTGATCATACTTATAACATGCCAAGGATCAACTTTACTCAAATCTAGGTAAAAGCTTGTGAATGTTTTTATATGAAATGTTAAGATGTCCTACATTAGCTAGGAATAGAGTCAAAATACTTCTTACAAAGACTTGGGTAGTCCTCTTATGAGTTAACTTTTGAAATGAGTTAGACCCAAGTTTCTTAATATGGTATTAAAACTTATCCAGTTTGAATCGTGGACTGCTCACAAATGTTTAGTCCTATTGGGACACCAACAAATGTCTAGTCCTGCAAACTTTATGCACCAAATGTCTTGGGCGTGAGGAGGGAGTGTTATGTTAAGATGTCCTACATTGGTAAGGAAGAGCCAAAATACTCTTTTTAAGGACTTGGGTAATCTTCCTTCTATGAGCTAGTTTTTTGGAGTGAGATAGAGTCAAGTTTTCTAATATGAAACAATAACAAAATTTACATATCCAATATAAATATAAAAAGCTACCACAAGTGCCAGCAAGGAGACGAATCACCTCATCATAATTTTTCCCTTGAAGCTGAGCCCTATCTTGTCTTTCTTGCTTTAGTTGCCTAAATAATCGTTGCTCTATGTGGTCACTTAGAACTGTTCTCGGCAAATCCTTGGCTCCAAGAACAGCACTTTGGGGCAAGGGTTTGCGCTCACCTCTTTCTACTTCTTCAATATAGCAGTTAGGACAAGTGTATTCAGCTTGTCCACCATCATTTCTTCGGCCATTAAATAAAGCACAAATTTGATGTTGCCATGCTTCACATTTATCACATTGAACCCACTGCAGACAAAAATAGATGGTGATAAAAGAAATAAACTGCGAAATCAATGAACAAAATAAGACATGATATGTAACGCACCCATTCCTCTGTTTCCTCATCATTTTTCTTCTTTTCCAACCTCGACTTAGGAAAGGGAGTCCCATCAACGACAATAGTGTCTCCACGAGGCTCATTGTAGCATGGAATACAAAAAAAATGTCGTGTGTCACCAGTACCCATGATATAATACATATTATTTCGTTTAATTCGAACACCACATGTTGTGCAATAAATAGGAGGTGGTTCAAAAGTAAGCTTCTCTACAGCACACAATTGACAGGAGTTCTCACTCATCGAATGCTCCATTGCTTGATTCTTCTCTGCTTTTGATTTGCTCTGTAACAATAAAATAGATGTATCATGGTAAAATGAGGATAAAAACTTACCAAGACCATTAACAAAGCACAAGGCATACAGCAATCTGGTTTGTTGCTTGCAAAATATTAGTCTAACAAATATAATGAGAAGCTAAGATGAAAAAAAAATAAAAAATAAAATTCTGATTGCATTAAGTAAATTAGGCCTCCAGAAGAAGCACAAGAAACTATATGTTCTTAAACTAGACAACCTGAGGAGAAAAGATTCAAATGCTGAAAACAAATGATAGGCACATTAATATGAACAAAAAATTCAAAATTCAGTAGACCACAAATAGCATAGGCATTGAAAATTATGTAATTAGGAACCCAAGTTCTGCATATGCATGATAAGTTTAGTTCATCATTTCCAGTTAATGCATTTAAAGTAATATTAGGGTGTTTACTGAATATTGGGCATGGAGTATTTTTTTCTGTTGACTAGGCTCGGGCTTATGTAAGACAAAGGCAGGGCATGCTCAATAAGGTTCCAGTGTTAAATAGTTTTTAAACTACAGCAGAGCTGGCTTATGCAAGCAAATAAAGATTGATTGTCATTTTATTAGAAAAAAGGTTCTCTTTGGAGAATTACAACAAGCTTTGTTGCCTCCAATGACCACTTGACTGATTTGTTCACTAAGTCATAAGGGGACCTCAGGTGGAATATATTTGTAACAAGCTTAGTGCATATGATATGTATGTTTCAGCTTGAAAGGGAGTGTTGATATGAAAATACAGTAATTAGGAACATAATATTGGAATTACATTTATATAAATACAATAATTAGGAATGTAATATCAAGATTATATTTATTAGATAATATTCCATAATTAATATAGATCCTTGTACAACTTGTATAAATTTAGACCTTTGGCTCAAATGCAATACACAAAAATATTCAAACACCTCTTCTCTTTTCTATAAAATTAATAGCTCTAAAGCAAATTTCCCTTTGAAAAAAATTGCACAAGAATAAACAAAATCTTACTTGGCCAACCCATTGCCTGAGGCCAGTGATATGTTCCCTGACTTGCTCAGGAGTAAACAGTTCAGTCAATGAGACCCCCTTTATTTCTGGCTTACCAGACTTGGTTCCAGCTGGATGTTCAGATGGCTGGGTCACATTTTCTTGCTTATCATGTCTGGTTTCTTTCTCAGTTTTAATATTATCTGGCCTAGCTGTATTAGTTGCCTCATTATATTTGACAGGCTCACCAGCAAGCCTTTTATCATCTGCTTTGTGCTCGTCCATTTTTGCCTCACTAAGATTTTCATGAACTGAATGTACCAGAACTTCTGCTTTAATTTCTGTAAGCTCAGATTTGCTTGATATAGACATATCACCACAGGGATAGACTTGGCACCGAGTATCCTTTGAGTCTTGTGATTCACACTTCAAAGGAACATACGGAGATGCATTGTCATATTCAGGATTAATGGACTGGGTGCACTGGTCAGTTTTCATACGTTTTAGAGATGGTAGGTCTTCTGAAGCTTCAACCACTAAAGGAGATTTTGAGATCAATCTAGGTGATAGACCTACCATATTATGGGACTTACAGGATCCATTTAAAGCAATTGGCAAACATGATTCAGGATCAGGTTGAATCTGAGCCTTAAGTTGGAATTTACGCCTATACATTCTTACAAAAGCACAAACAGGGCAACAAGGATTCTTGCATTTTATGAAATGATGAAGCAATTTCCTGGTATGATGACAACGAGGATACGGACAATGAGGTACAGTGCAACCATTTATGTGATTACATAACTTTTGCGCACTAGAACAATGGCGTTCTTGGCATCTCCCTTCCGGGGCAGAACATCGTCGAGCATGAAGTAAAAATAAAAGCCACCTCTGTTGATTCCTGTGTGCCTTCTTTGTAGTACTGCTTGAGTCTAGCAACTCAGTTGAGCCTTTAGAAGCAACAGCTTGACCAATAATAGACCCATCTGATGATAAATTATTACATTGAGTTTCATCTTGCCCTGATATTCTTTGATGGAAATTCATGTGGAGATGCTGTTCGTGAGACATATTCTGAATGTGGTTTTCATCTTGTGATTGAGGCCATTGATTTAGAAGTATTGATTTGGATTGTGACCCAACTGAAAGACAGCTAAAATTATTTTGAGATTCTGAAACCAATTGATGTGGCATTTGTTGCAAAATTTGATGTGTTGGTGAGGATAAATCATGCTGACCAGAGGAGAATGAAAGATGTTGAGAAACCTTAGAGCAATCTTCAGAAGAGTTCCGCCGGAGCTGGTTCTGCATCTCAAATACATGGAACTGTTCAGAAACATGAGCATTGGGAACTTCTTTATGTTGTTCAACTTCATATTTGGAATTTACTTGATTGTCTAGATTGGAAGAGAGCTGAGATTGAGAGAAGGAATCACTGTTGAACAAATGCTGAGGTTGTTGACTTTGAAACTTCAGTTGAAATTGGTTTTGAGCATATTGCTCTGATTGTTGACATTGTCGGGGTCTTTGCTGATATTGCCCATGTGTATGCACAAGGCCATCTCTTGAAGCCAATGAAGACTGAAAGTTTAAATTTTTCAAAGGACTAATTGGTTGAGACTTTTGATGAGCAGTCTGATGCATACTGTGCAAATTTGAGTGGTCACTTATCAATGAGCTGGTAATGGGTATAGATGGCAATTTAACTGAATTCATGTTCTGTGTGTTCATCATAGACCCAGAGGATGTTGCAGATGCATAGAAGCTTCCAGAGGTAAAAGTGTCAACAATTCCCAATCCATATCCGTCACCTAACAATGCGATTGTTACCCTTTTTGTGAGATACCATTTGGTAGTGAGAAAAATATCTTCCTTTCACAAACAAAGACATCACCTACCCACCCAATAACGAACAACCAAGAATTTTTCCACTAGGTAAGGTTAACTACATGGATGAAACAATGCCATAATGTTCTAACATAAATCATGTCTACCCAACAAATAAACAATATAGCTAAAAAGATTATACCACTCCTAGGAGGAGCAGGGAAGGAGGTAAAGGTTTCTGCTTTAATACTACACAAAATCAAATAAAAAGATGTAAAAAAGATTACCCTGCACTACTGGTTCCTGATTTTGATCAAAGTGCTGCTGTAAGTGTTTAGGGGAACTAGCATACATTGAAGCATAGTCATCTGTGCCAGGTTCATTTGCAAGTTGTATGTTGTTTGCAGTCAAGCCTAGCCCATTATTTATAGAACCATTTGGATATGAAGATGATTTTTGCAGTAACCCAGATCTCATTCCACTACCCATTTGTGTGCCAAGGTTGTGCAATGCATGACTGTTGTGGTCACTGTCTTGAAGCTTCTGCTGTGGCAGTGACTGTGATTCCAATGTAGAATCAACACCAGAAAAAATACTGCTATTTGCTGAAGGATCTATATTTATATATGAATGATTATTGCTGACACTAAATCCAGGAGTTGGAATCATCTGGCTTGCAATTCTTTGCACCCCCACTGATGACATGTTTCCTCCTGAACCAACGGAAAAATTTGTAGAAGACTGCTGGTAACCATTAGACACACCTGCAATAAGTAGATCTATTGAAGCAGGAAAAGAAAAACATACTAAATGGACTGGGTGAGGAATTAAAACAACTCAAATTACCATCAGATTTATTAAAACAGCTGCCAAGTGCACCACCTGCTTGTAACATGCTTACACTATTGATAGATGTGGATGCTATGCTATTACACCCACTGGCAGCAATCATTGAGGCATCCACAGAAGATGCCATGATTGTAGTTGAATTTGTAACATGTGAAATACCAGAGGTTGGTATCATTGTACCAACTGGAGAAGAACTAACAAGCTGAGGATATTGTTGGTTGTGATTGTGCATAGATGATGGTCGCAACAAATTAGACAAACGGCTCTCTAGTGTATCCAAGTTCATGTAGTCCTCCTAAAATACAAGTCCGGAACATCATCAACATAAAAAATAGTAACTTTTGACAAATGCATACTTACCAGGAAGTAACCTCAAAAAATTTAAACATAGGAAAAAGAAAATTTAGATGGGATTCCTTCAAATTGTGGAAAAGAAAATTAGCTAGAGGCCCAGAAAAACCTTAGAGCAAGCAGTGTTTAACATGCCCTCTTCCAGGCATTTTGCAAGATCCTTAAGCTTCCTTCTATGTACATCTGTAACAGGATGCTGGTACCGCTGCAATATTATGTTATATCTGGATGGTAAAAAGAAACATGTTTATTGTTGTTATCCTAAGAGCTTAAGTTGTAAGGTGAAAGCACTATCTAAGATGGCCTCTCAAGCAAAATTTTTTTGGGCTTGAAACATGGACAATGCATATAGGCCCAAACCTACCTTGTGCTGAAAATTCATTTATAGTTAGAAGAATAGGGGCAATAAAAGATAAAACTTTAGACCATTGGTGTAGAAGCTCTCATATCATGTAATAAACTACCTATCCCAAAAGCTTAAGACATTGACTAAAAGCACATGAATGATTATATATCTAACAAAGATAGTCTAATATACAATTTTCAACTTAAAAAATACCAAAGATAGGTCAGGACAAGGGCACATAAAATAATCAAAGGTGGAGAGAGAACAAACTAGTTAACTACATGGTGCCTACACTACCAAGACCCTTGTTAACAACCTTGATAGAGTGAGTTAGGTGTTAAGATGTCTCACATTAGGTAGGAATAAAGCCAAAATACTTCTTATGAAAACTTAAGTAGTCTTCTTCTTACGAGCTAGCTTTTGGGAGTGAGTTAAGTTCAAGTTTTTTAAAATAGTATTAAAGCTTATTCAGTTTGAATATTGAGTTGCTCACAAATGTTCAGTCTTGTTAGGCCACCCGCAAATGTCTAGTTTTGCAAACTTAATGCATCGGATGCTAGCCCTTTGATGTGAGGGAGATGTGTTAAGATGTCCCACATGAATTAAGAATAGAGCTAAAATACTTCTTATAAAGACTTGAGTTGTCCTCTTCTTATGAGTTAACTTTTAAGAGTGAGTTAAACACAAGTTGCTTAACATTAGCTAATAAAAAGTAAGCTATAAAATTATGAAAATGACTAGACAGAATCCATGGCACATTCATAATTAAAAATAAAAAAGCAAAGATTTTAATAAAAAAAAATACAAGTAAATAACAATAAAAGTAAAAAATTCCTCATAACAGTGTTTTTTTAGGGCAAAAATGAGTTTTTTTGAAAAGTTTGATTCAAGCGCTGCTATAGTGGCACTACGGCCGCTATTTTGCCCGCTATTGTGATTTGTGAAAGCTATTTAAAAGCGCTATGCTATTCAAAATTTGTAGCAGCCCAAGGCCACTCCGCTCCACTAAATAGCCCGCTATTGATAACTATGAGATGTACTGAAATTCCCGTAATATTTTGGTAGTACCTTCTATCACTAGGTTGTGTCAATTAGTTTTATGCAAGACAAAAAAATATTATTACTTCATTTTATCCATATTAATGCCCCCATTGATAACACTTCTCTGAAGATTCAGCAGAGTCACCGGATTAAATGTGTATAAAAAGCAAACAGTATAGAAATATATACAAAAACAAACTTACATCTTAGCTTGAATAAAATAACGTGCTCTAAGAAATTCAGGGTCCATATTAATTGTTGAACGTGGAAAAACACCTAAATTTGGCATCTGAGGGATGGCATTTACATTTGGTTGAATCAAGGCTGGCAACTGAGACCCTGCTTGATTAGGTACCTGCCCTGATATCTTCCCTGGAATCTGTGCTGTAGCTTCATTTTCTTTATTCTTCACATTTGCTCTACCAACCAAATATTGCATTTTTATGAAATGATTCAGGATTCAACCATCAATTAGCAGTTCAGCTGTACCAGAATCCCTCTATCAGGGTAAGAACCAAACCATCGGATGACTTATATGTAAATCTTGAAGAAAGAAAAAAACTAAATGTGATTATTTGACATAAGACATGGAACAAACGAGGAATCCTGACACCAAATTATTGCTTGTAAACTCAATGTAAAATCCAGTTTAAAATATATAAAAAATCAACAATTTATAGACTTAAAGTACAAAGAAGAAACTCAGACTTCCGAAGTCATAAAATCTGGAATGAAACGACAAAAGATGTTGAACGCAAGGAACCTTTATAAAATTTGCTGATTTCTATCAAATCAAGGGCGCAGACGAGATTCGCCTAACAAAATCCCCCTATTCTCGTCATTGGCAAATGAAAGATTAAAATTAGATAATATAAATTTAATTAACCATAATAGTTGCAGTAAATAACCCTCGGTAGTAAGCTAAATCAAACAAAAGCAGCGAAGGAACAAAGAAACCCTAAAGTTGATGTGTTACAACGAACCTAAAACGCGAACAAACAGATTCAGACCCGACAGAAGTTCGAAATTACTTAATTGAATCGGAAGTAACCACAACTATCGACGACCCCGACGACTGCAATCAACGATTCTTTTGCCGTAGCTACGAAAAAGTCAGTTACACCGTCCCACCTAAAGGCACGTGCGAATTTGGCCTCAAACGAACTATAACGAAAATAAAACGAAGAAAAATACAGGAAAAAGAAAAAAAAAAACAGTTTGGAGTGCAAATTTTTTTAACTATCGCCAATACACAAAAAATAAATTAAAATATATCATCTTTATTAATAAGATTATGCAAATTTTGATACATTTATTTTTTAATTTTAAATATTAAAATAATTCATTTATTAAAAATTATGAATTAATTTTTTTATTAGGTAAAAATTGTGAATGACTTGCAAAAGATATTTAATTTTTTTGTTATTTATCTTTAAGTATAAATAATTAAATAAAATAAAAAATATTATGAATAAAAAATTATAAAATAATTTTGAAGTTACTCTTAGTTACATTAATAAATTATAAAATTAATATGTTTATAATTATTTATATTTAGATGAAATTAACTTTCATTTCATTTTCTCTACTTTTTTATTGGTTGAAAAATTTTCAAACTAATCCTAGAGCGATAATTTAGGTAAGTTTTTGCTTAAAAGATTTTTATTTAGTATTTTTTTTCTTTACTCTTTTTTGTTTTTTTATTTTATTTTACATAATTAAGTACATTTCTAAGATATTGCCTATACAATTTATTTAGGGTTAAGGGTTGAAGATTAAGGTCAAGGGTTTTGGGTGTAGGGTTAAGGTGTAGGAGTTAGGGTTAGGGTTTAGGTTTAGGAGTTAGGGTTTGGGGTCTAGGGTTTAGTTGACAATGTTGATTTTTGCATGGTATGAAATTGCTCGTCTCGAGTCAATGGCCTAATGAGATGTTATTTCTTTACTTTTTTTGTAGTTTTTCTTCTATGACTGAGTCCAATTGATCAGCGTCCAAAGTCTCAACGACTTTAAGAGACGTTTTTATTTTGTTTTTGGGTAAGTAAGCCAAAATTTGATCCAATAGGCTCTCTTCAAGTGTCATCTTTCTCATTTTCGGCCTCCAATGTTTCCTAGAAGTCGTAAAAACCTATCAAAGGGTCCAGTCGAATTTGGTGTCGCATTTCACGAGGCATTGGTAAATGAGGATTTTGACCAAAATGTGGCTCACCAACATCTTTTATACGAAGTGGCGAGATGTTAGCAAAAGACTTGTTAAATGTCTTACTGTGTAGGCTACTAACATGTACCTTAGCTTTGAAATAGCTCTGATCCCTATTGACATACTCCAGTACCCCATCGTTGTTCCAGAGACTTAGCTTCTAATGGAGTGACGATGGAATCGCTCTAACTCCATGTATCCATTCTCTTCCGATCAGTAAATTGTAGCTTGCCTTAGCGGTTACTATAGCAAAAATGGTTGCCCGAGATACCGATTCGAGGCTTAAATTGACGATTAAAGCCCCCTTTAGAACTTAAGGTTTTTTCCTCATAGTCTGTCAGCACCAAATTATGAGGCAACATATCTTCTTCAATTTTCCCGATCTGTTTTAGCAAAAAACTAGGCATAATGTTGATAGCTACCCCAGAATTGACGAGAACCTTGTCTACTCGAAATTTCTCGTCAATTCGAGCCGCAATATAAAGCAACATCATGTGACTCTTCATTTATTGTGTCGACTCCTCGAAAGTAGCTGATGACTTAGCAAGAGAACAATTCTCCGTCAAATAACAATAACCCCATGGATTATTGTCGAGTTCATTATCAGCATTGATATAACTCCTAGGATGTCTTGAAGGTCATTGTCAAATCCTGATTCGAATACATCAGTTATTAATTCATCATCCGGATCATATTCGATCTCTAGACTCTTCATCTTCAAACTTTCTTTCTCAACTGGTGCTTTCTGTTGAGGTCACTTGATAGTGCTTCTTAATTTTCGATTGTTTGAAAGCTTTGGCTGCCATTTTATCAAACACGACACTGCACCTTGGATATAGCATGAGACTTTGCTATTAGCCTTTCTCTTTCGAGTCAAAAAGTCCAGGAATGAATCTCCTGGCCATAGGAAGATTTCAGCCTTCTCTTTCTCGAAAGTTTCCAAAGACCCTTTTCTCTCGACCTCCTCCACAGCTTGATCGAACAGGTCTTTCTGTTTATCAACAACATCCATCATTATTATATCGACTGGTTCCATGAAGTTGGCTTTAACTTGCATTGGATTAGAATCAATTGTGATCAGCATTTTTTTATTTTTGCTCAAATTTTAGTCTTTCTTGCCTAGTAGCATCTTGAATCAAATCTACGAAACGAATACAATTATTAGTCCAGTGACCGTAAACATGCTGAAATTTACAATATTTTCAACCCTTTCTTTGTTCTAAAGTAGGGATCTTATCATCATCAGATAACACAATTTGCCCATCTTTAAGCAAAATATTAAAAATATGATCAGCTTTAGAAACATCAAAAGTGTAACTTTTATTAGGCCAAGTTTTATCTTTATTATGGAATGATTTTAAGGATTGGCAAACATAAGAAAGTTCTTCTTTTACTTCAGCTACGTTCACCTCATTTACCCCTAAATCGACATCCTTTTTTTAGGGTCTAGGGTCTTGGGTGTTGGTTTAGGGTCTAGGGGTTAGGGTTTAGGGGCTAGGGACTAGGGGTTGAGGGTTGAGGGTTCAAGGTGTAGGGTGTAGGAGTTAGGGGTTAGGGGTTGGGGTTAGGGCTAGGGGTTAGGGTTTAGGGTTAGGGTTTTGGGGTTTCGAGTTTGGGGTTTGGGCTTTCGGGCTTAGGGCTTAGGGTGTAGGGCTTAGGGTTTAGGGTTTAGGGTTTAATCTATCAGGAAAAATATATTTATATTAATTAATTTACTGAATCTAAAGATACAAATTTGTAACACTTTTCGTTATTAAAGGATTAAATTTAAGTAAACTAGTCACAGAATAATAATTTATGTTAAATATTTTTTTTCCTTGTTTAGTAAGTGTTCACTCGAAGTTGAGTTTTATCTTTACCAACAAGTATAAATTGAGTATAACTATTAGTTATCTCTAATACACAAAGACTGACTTATTTAACTTATTAGATAAATCTTACCTTCAATCCTATATTTAAATAGACTGGCAAAATACTTGGTCTCAACTAATATTTTATGGGCGAAATAATTAACTCATATAAAATTCCGCATCAACTAGAAGTTTATGATAATACAAAATCCTTTAACTTATGCTTTCTATGATATATAATTTTAATTTTAAAAAATAAGGAATTTGTATATTATTTTTTTAAAACCTAAACTTGCATTTACTTGAATTTATTTTTTTAAAAAAATTGATTTTTATTATTTTAAAATTAGTTTCAAGCAATCAACTCTTTCTTTAAAAGTAACAAGGATATATATATATTTTTGGTAATTTATACGGTACTCTGTAAACTAAGAGGATATTTTATACCTCTCACACGTGGAACAATTATTACCGTTAATTTTATATTAAAAGACAGTAATGTTAGTGATTAATTTGATAAAAAAAATAAAAATACTTATTAATCTCTAAAAAATTTGAAGAATTACAATCGTCAATCTAAAAAGCTTATAAAATGTTTAGGTTTTAGGGGATAGAGTTTAGGGTTTGGAATTTTAGGATTAATGATAAATCTGTAATTAGGTCCTCTGTTATAACCCAATTATTCCTATTTGACATTTAATTAAATTGAGTTTTACACTAATTTAGTTGTTAATTGCGCAGTTTGATATAAAGAGACTATGAGAAGATTTTGGGTACATTTTGAGCCCAAATGAATAGGATTCAAAGCCTCACAGCAACAAGCACGCCCAGTGAAGTACGGAGGTGCTTCGATGATATGCACGACCGTGCTTGTTTGCATTAGTCAAATTTACCAAGTACAAAGGAGTTCAAAATTATATAAATAGAGGGAGGAAAGCATCGTGAATGGGAACTTTTGCTGAGCACAGATTTACACAGAACCTTTTCTTCAAAATTTTGGATCATTTCCACTCTTCTCGGAGGATCGTTGGCACACCATTGGAGGAACTTAGAGCTTCAAGTGACCATACTTGAAGACCGAAGATTCATTTCCTATTCTAGTTTGCTTTACTGCTTCATTATGGATGTTATTGATTATTTTAGTTCTTTCTTTCTACATGAGTAGCTAAATCCATAGCTAGGGCTATGAGAATTATCGTTTATGACTTTATGAGATTTTGATATTTGAATCTAAATATGATTTTCACTTCATGATTAGGATTTATCTTATCGTTTCTCATTCTCAACCCCAATTAATTACATCGTCAGGCGATCGTACCTTGGGTAATTAATAGATTTATAGGATAAAACGATAGAAAAGATTAGGTAGACCAAACCAATCTTCATCTTCTAATCGTTATTGAATCAACAAATCATAGGCTCCTTAGGCTTTTTCTAAATTAATAACCTGCATGACCATTGGGGATATTAACTTAGAGAAAAGAATATTAATACTGCATGACCATTGGGTATTAATAGTATCAGTATAAATGATTAGTAATCACTAGGAAATCAGATTTAGATCTAAATAAAAGAATATCATAAAAGATTGAATGAGAACACCTATACGCCCTAGGTTCCTCTTCGATAAAGTTTAATCAAAATGTGCTTTGTGTTTCTTGCTCTTAGTGTTTATAATTGATTTTATAAATTCTCGTCTTAATTAATCTCGCATATTTGAAGCTAAAACAATTAAATTAGGAAAACTCTTAGTAATTGATAAACAATCCTTGTGGGACGATATTTCGGGAACTTAGTTGAAAACCCTTTATTACTTTTTGACGGGTACACTTGCCCTTCGAACAATTAGGGTTTTGAGTTTTAGGTTTTGGGGTTCAGGTTTAGGTTTAGAGGTTACGATTCAAGTTTTAGGATTAGGGTTTAGGGTTACAGGTTTAGGGGTTAGGGGTTAGGGGTTAGGGTTTAGGGTTTAGGGTTTTGAGCTGATTCTTTATTCATTTCGAGGATCTCGTCAGGGGCATCACTTTGGATTCTAGTTTTGCGGAAAACAGATCTCGGACTTGAATGATATGGCCTTTGCAGT